TGTTTTCTTTAATGCTAAAAAGAAAAGAAGAGGCAATAATATTCTATAATTATTCCTTTCTCTTAATTCAAGTTAATTTTTTAATTATATTTCTATTTAAAAATAAGAATAGAAAAATAATTTTATTTAGGAAAAATAAAAAAACATTAAGTTAAATTTTATTTAAATTTATTTAATATAAAATACAAGAAAGAGTAATAATATTATCTAACTAATCATTTCTCTCAATTCAAATTATTTTTTAATTAAGTTTCTTTATTTAAAAAAATATAAAAACTAATATTTACTTTAAGAAAAAAAAATCAAGTTGGAGTTTACTTAAATTTATTAAATACGAAAATTAAAAAAAAAGAATAATATTCTATAACTAATCCTTTTTCTCAATTCTAATCAATTTTTTTAATTATGTTTATTTATTTAAAAATAAAAAATATAAAAAATATAAAAAATGAATTTCTACTTTAAGGAAAATAAAAAAAAATAAAGTTAGATTTTATTTAAATTTATATAATATGAAAATAAAAAAATAAATAATATTTATAAATAATCCATTCTTTCAATTCAAATTGAATTCTTTTATTTCTTTATTAAAAAATATATAAAAATGAATTTTCACTTAAAAAATAAAATATCAAGCTGATTTTTGTTATAAATTTATTTAATACAAAAAAAGAATGATATTATAAAAATAATTCATTCCTCCAATTTAAATTAATTTTTTAATTTGTTTCTCTTAAAAAATAAAAAAATGAAATTAATATGTTTCTTTTATAAGATATCAAGATAAGTTCTTTTTAAACATATTTCTTTAATACAAAAATAACAAAAAATAATATTTTCATGAATAATTAATTCCTTTAATACAAAAACTTTTAATTGTATTTCTTTATAAAAAAATATAAAATTAAAATCTTTTGAAAATTTTAAGAATAAAAAACAAAGCTAAAAAAAATTGACAAATTTGAAATAATAATAAAAAATAATTAATAGTCATTCTTTAGAGTGAAATAAATATTTTTAAAATTAAAATAATTTTTATATGATTAATTAGAAAGTAACTATTTTAATCAATGACGTCGTAGGGTGCTGATACCTTCCTTACACTTAAATGACTCGTGAACCTAAATTTGGTTTTGAAGATTATTTATATTAAAAGTTTTTCTAATATTTTTCTTTAATAAACTTTGGTGATGACTCCCTGTCATCGTTGTCCTGCCATGGCTCTCGTTACGACAGGGTATAAATTTGCAAACGCAACATTTCTCCTCCATTTATCCTTCTAAAAATTAAATGAACAATTATTGTCAAGTACTCATGTGATATTGGAATTTATTCACCTATTGGCTTGCTTATAGACACATACCACGTCCTTCCACCAATTTGAAACATTATGAGCTACCTTCAAAGAAATTAACAAATCAGCACGTGATCCATACCGTGTCTGCAATACATCAAAGCACAATAAGTTTAAAAACTTTAATCCCCTCCAAAACCATTTACCCAATAAGTTCAAATTAAACCATTCCACATTTCTCACTCCTAAACTGCCCTCATTCTTTGGCATACATATTGTTTCTCATTTAATCCAAACAATTTTTTATAATTCATTCACACCATTATAAAGAAATCAATGTTGAATTTTCACCACCTCTTTGATTACACTCGGTGGCATTTTTCAAAAAGATAAATAATATAGCGGAAGACTATTTAGAACAGCATTGAGAAGTGTTACTCTACTCCCAATAGAGATGTATTTGTACTTTTAAGATGCTAGTTTGCGATTAAATACCTCAATAAGCTTTTGCTACTTTTTCTTCTTAGTTTATCCCCAACATAGATGTCTAAATATAAAAAAGGTAAAGATCTCACCGTGCAATTTAGAAATTGAGATGTTGTGTACGTTCACCCCCCCATAATACAACTCTTATGAAAATTAATTTTAAGCCTAAATATAAGCTGAAAACTTCGTAGAATAGCCTTTGTAGTCCATAAATTTTGCTCAGTAGCTTTATCTTTAATCAAAGTATCATTTGCAAGTTGTAATAATGAAATTTTTGGTCCATCATTAACTTTGACACCAAAAAAAGACTTTTTAAGATTACACTTTTCATCAATCTTCCGAACTTTTCACTGCTAATAAAAATAAAAAGAGATCAAGGATCGCCTTATTTGAAACATTTACCAATTATCACTTTTTCTGTTGGGCTCCCATTAACAAAAACCAATAAATGACCACCACAAATACAAGCCTCCATCCACCTAACCCACTTTTTTCTAATCTCAAACTTTCGTAGTATATATAACATATATTTCCATTCCAATCCATTGAATCGTATATCTTCTCATAATCTACTTTCAACATAATATATATATATATATATATATATATATATAATTTTTCTTAGCATATTCTATTACCTCATTGGCAACAAGTATATTATCTAACATGTTTCTTCATTATATGAATGTCGATTGTTACTTATTTATTATACTTGCTAGCACACCCCGCATTCTACTTGCAAACAAACACCTTTGAAATAATTTTACAAAGACACTTCAATAAAGAAACAGGTCTATACTCACTTACCTCTTGGAGATTCTTTGTCTTCGAAATGAGTGCTACAAAGTAAAAGAGCAATCCTTTAGGAACCACAACATTCATATGAAATTTCATAAGCATATACGTTACCTCACCCTCACCAAGTCCTAAAACGATTTTACAAACATGAAATTAAATTTGTCAAGGGCCCAGACTCTTATCTTCCTCAAACTCCTTTATCATACTCGATACTTCCTCTACAGTAAAAGTCTTCTCCAATTTCTCTCTATGTTCCTCCAATATGCACAACATATTAATGTTTTCAATTGTTGGTCTATCTTATTCACGAGCTACAAAGTGATCATAAAAAAAAATTAGAATATATGATTTTACCTCATTTACATCCTCAAGCATGGAAGTATTTAGAATTTATATCACCCTTAACGAATCACTTCTTCCTTTGCTTATGTGCCAAGAGAATATTTCTATGCCTCCTCACCCATCAAATACCCTCAACCTTTGCAAGCTCTAATGTCATGTCGTCAGTTTTCTTATCCACATCTACGAACACTTCTCGGTTTCATCCCTTCAGAGTAATTTTAACATTAGTCAACCTTCTCTTAATAATGCGCTTTGCTGCCATGACTCGCTAACATTATCATTCCAGGCCTTATTAACCACATTGCGAACACCAACATGCTTCATCCAACAATTATTAAGCTTAAAAGGCTTTGGGCTCAGTCATCGGTAATATCCGAACTACTACATTTCTCCACTTGTCACACAAATCCTATGAGACTATCATATTATCCAGTCTGCTTATAACCTCATTACCCCTATGCATTCAAGTGTATTTCCTTCCTACAAGTGGCAAATCAACCAATCGCATATCAACAATAAATTGATTAAATTCTATCATATCATATATTAGCATCCATTGAATCCATCTCTCCTTTATTTTAACACATCTTATTAATAAAATGATATTAATGATTTAAACAATAACTTTATTTAATTTAATATTTAATTTAAAAAATTATTAATTTTAACATGTTATATCAATAAATATCACATGAATTGATTTAAATAATTTATTTCTTAGTTTTAAAAATATTATTTATCTACTTAATTTATTTTTATCTAACAAAATACAATATTAATTATTAATAAAAATTTAATGACAATGTGCTGAATATTTTTTCCTCAAATATTTATTACCTAAAAATAAAAATTTAATTAAGTAAAAGATGAACAAGAACAACAAATATTAATACAATGAATGATTTTTAATATAAACTAATTTGAAGATAAAAGAGAAAAGAATAAATGAAAAAAATAGAGAAAAGATAAAAGAAAAGGACTACCCTAAAAATGTAGAGAACAAAATGTTTATAAAATTAATGTACTAAGTTTTAATTGTGTAAAGGGTGAATTATCTTTAAAAATAAAATAAAAAATAATAAAATAATAAAAATATTAGTAATTAGCTCTTGAGAATTAAGCATTACTTTAGATAACATTTAAAAAACTGACTTTCAAAAACTATAAGTTCTTTTCATTTTTTATTTATCAAGTTTATTGGCCAAGTCAACAAACTATTGAATCCTAAATAAGTTATAGGTTATTTTTATTAAAAATAATCTCAAACTTACATGAATGTTGATTCTTAAAAAAAATAATTTAATATTTTAAATTAAAATATTTAAAATTTAATTTTTAACTGATTATATATATATATATATATATATATATATTTTTAAATTATACATTCATGATTTAAAATGGACAGTTGTCAATCTATGCTATTCCTTTCTTTTTGATGATTTTCCTTACATACTAGATATTTTGCACAGAGTTATTTATATAAGAATTAACATATAATTTATTTTCTTGTTTATTAAAACTGTCAAAATAAATTCAGACTTATAAGCTAATTTAACTTAATTAAGTTTATTGGAGTAATTGTAAAAAATTGAACTCACAAAAAATAAGTTATTACGATCCAGTTTTTTTTTAACTTGTGAGATATATTGAGTTAAATTCACTTACCTAAATTTTAAAGAATATTTTTTATATTAAATTTTGATATATAATGATTAATTAATACTTAGTTAATAGTAAATTAACTGAAGTAAGACGAAATACTTTATTTTTTTAATATCTGATATATTACACAAAATAATAAATTATATATATGGTAAATCTGTATTAAAAATTATAGAATTTAATATAATTAATATATTGATACTTTTAAATATTATGATCTTCAATAATATATATATATATATATATATATATATATATATATTGTACAATATTGCACAAAAAATTAATTTAAATATTACATTGAATCCAACGGTGTATGATTGATTTTCACTCGGTATTCCATTTACTTTCTATGTACCTCATAAATCCCCCAACAAATTAATTTTAATAGAATGTTGAAAAATTCAATGGTTTGGGAGCGACACGAACAACCGCTAAAGCAGGGTTCTGAAATCAAAATAGAGATCAAATAAGAAAAAGAACCCGAAGTGGAAGCAAAGTACCTTGTTCTTTCTTTTCTGCCTTTAACTGTCAACAACGGAAAGCTGATAAATCTTGTAACGAATGGGACTGATTAAGATGGTAATAGAGTTGTGGAGGACTCTCCATTTCGTTTGTTCAGTACAATTCTGGAGAATGGCGTTGATTTGGACCCTTTCTATTCTGTTTTCTTATTACCAATTGTTTAAAGCTTATCTATTCTCTCAGAAAGTGGTGTCCTATCCCAGGTGTTCCCCTTCCTTAACTCCTTTTAGGCCTGTTTGCGTAGTCACTGGTGTAAGTCTTATTTAATACATTCAATTTCTTTTTACTTAATTATAGGAATTTATCAATTTTATTCTGTGGTTTGGTTCATTTTTGTGTTGTAGGCAACATCTGGTCTGGGATTGGTTACTGCTTATGAGCTTTCGAAGGAAGGATATGTTGTTGTGATTGGTAACTGCTTATTGTTGACGTTGTTTGACTCTTGATATTAGTTTTTAATTTTATATTTTTCATTGCTTTGTTAGTGATGCTTGAAGTAACCAAATATCTCATATTTCTAGTTTAGAAAAGGATAACAAGACACTTTTTTTTAACACACTTTTCAATTTTTTTCTTAAAAAACGTTAAAAAGATACTCTTTAATATACTCTTTATTATTAGCTAAAATTTATTAAAAAATATAAAAATCATGTTGGTCAATTGGTGTAGGATTATTTCAGCTTAACTTGTAGCTTAAATTTGAGTTCTTAAAAATGCAATTGCGCACAGTGAAAACTTTGTTAAAATCATGTTGGTCTTAGTCCTAATTTAATGTATTTCACGCGCATATTTTTATACTTTTCAATAAATTTCAACAAAAAGTGTTATAAAGTGTATTTCTAGCACTGCTTTTTTTTTTTAATTATTGTTAAAAGAAAATTTTGGTATTGACCTCAACAACATCAACATCATTGATAGAGAATGGAGCCTGGTTATTTAGTGGGATCTACATGAAATTTTACCCAATAATAGAGACAAGTTTAAAAAAAGTGTATTGAGCAGTACATACTAGTAGCATTTCTCTTCTAGTCTATGCAATGTATATTAAAGATTCCAATTTGTGGATGCAGTTGGACGTTCACAGCAGTTGTTGTCAGAGGTATTTTTCTACTTTGATTTTTTAAGTCATGGTAATTAATGATGACACTACATTTCATAAATCTCTTATCAATGTTCCCATTGTCTATTAGACCATGAGAAAAATCAAAGGGTGGAATGAAGATGCCCACCTCAAAGATTTTCAGGTTGATCTGTCATCAATTGAGTCAATCATAAAGTTCAAGATGTCCTTGCGACAGTGGCTTTTGGATTCTGATTTGCACTGCTCTGTACAAATACTGATAAACAATGCTGGAATACTTGCAACATCGCCTAGAGCCACAGCTGAGGGTTTTGATCAGTAATTAATACTTTTTTCTAACCTTCTTTAATAATATTAAAGAATTTTTGCTTTTGAATAACTTTGGCACTTATACATGCTCTACATAACACATCCAGAGATGCAAAGGCCACATGCTTGCTAATTATATTACGTTCAGACTGTTAATAATTTGTTTAAGCTAAGGGAAATTGTTTGTTGCATGTTAGAACTTTGGACACATTGTTGACTCTACAGAACCGGAACCCAATAAAGACATGAGGAAGTGTTTGTATGCAGAATAGATTTATTTAAGTCTTTGATACAGACTACAGAGTATTTATCTGTTTTATATTTGTTTGCTCCATGAAATTGAGCATTGGTGCAACAGAAAGGTTGCTACCTTGTGATCTTGAAGTCATGGGTATAAATCCTTGGAACTACATCTTCATTTGCAGGGGTAAGGCTATGCACATTTACCCACTCTAGATCATACTAGGTGGGAGCCTCGTACGTTGGGCAGACGCATGCCTTTTTTTTATACTTGTTAGCTCCATGTTTGTTTGGTAAATAAGTTATATATAGTTAATAGTAACTTTTAAAATGTAAAATGTCTTACTATTTTTCTCCCAGGATGATCGGTACAAATTATATTGGCGCATTCCTTTTAACCAAGCTTCTATTGCCTCTTCTTGAAAACAGCCCTGTATCTTCCAAAGTTGTGAATGTAACATCCTTTACTCATCGAGCTGGTAGGGATAATCATTATAATCCTTACATCTTGGTCTATGTTATTGTTTGGTGATCTAACTCTAGAAACTGATCAAGCTCTGTTCTTTAGTTTCTGATGTGCAGGTTAATGAGAGTACTGTATCTGGGAAGAAATTTTTGAGATCAAAACAATATCCATGTGCTCACATCTATGAGTATTCTAAATGTACGCTGTAAATTCTGGATGTAGTTATACAGATTATCTTATGTCTTTTATCCTAACCGGCATACAATTTTGTTGAAGTGTGCTTACTTCTCTTCTCAAACGAGCTTCACCGACATATTTGCCTACTGGGAAAATCTCATCAGATATTTGTCACGTATGTAATTACTAATCTACTTACTTTTATTTCCTTTTTCTGTCTTGTTTCCAAGTGTTGTATATTTTTTCGTATTGAATTTTTTTTATACGTTAACAATTAAATAACCAATGCATTACTTTCTGCTATGTTGTTTGAATATATTCATCTGATTGCTTCTATTACTAGCCTGACCTTCATGAATTAAATTACAAGTTTAGGGGGTGGGGGTGGATTTGGAAGAATTTGTTTGGGCTTATGGAAGTGGCTTAATTCTTTCTTATAAGGTCTCTTTTGCTTATTTCATTAAGTTTCATTGAGAAGTTTATCAAAATAAGCTCATCCTAGCTTAATTCAACAAGTGTATGGTTCAATTTATGAATAAGCTCTTGTTTAATACATAGTTGTTAATTTCAGATAGGGCAAAGAGCAGCTTACCCTTAAAACGTTACAGTGGAATAGTGTATAGCAGGATGATGGCTATTTAAAAATTTGTAATATGCATGTATAATATGTTATATACACAAATTTTTAGTATAAATGCTTAAAAAATTTTAAAAATTAATCACTTCATCATCATTCCTAGTAAAAGTGCAAAATACTACAGTATGAGTGTTCTTAAACAAAAAATGTTTTAATAAGATAAAGTTAAATTTTAAAAGTGATTTGTTCTCAACCTAATCTAATCTAATCAAATTCTGTCTCCGATAAAAAATCCTCCTCTTCATTGTCACTCTCCACACTACTGCTTCGGTAGATGTATTTTGTTCTTCCTCTTCTTCAATAGTTTCTTAATCTACTTCCATTTCTTGCTCTTCATCTTACATAATATCCTTCCCTTTTTTAGATCTAAAGTTAGTAATAGTTTTTTTCAATATTGTTTGTTATCTAGTGTAAGCAGCAGGTTTATTAACCCTAATAGCTTTAGCAACAACTCTCCAAGTTGAATTATCATCATTAAAGACCAACTCATCTTCACCAAGTTTCGTATTTTCGCCTTCTCTCATTTTTCTAATTAACCACTCATTACAATCGTCAATATCATCCAAAACAATTGGATTAATCACATCATGACGATTATAACAATCTAGTAGATTTTGGTTATGCTTAATGTAAACCAAATCTTGCATCTTTTGGCTCTCTGATTTGTTTCTCTTTTAGAGTGAATCTAATGATTAATTAAGAAAATTTTTATATTTTTTCTCAACCAGTTAATATAAATCTAGAAAAAAATCTATTAATTAGAACTTAGTTACTTACATGTTTAAAAAATTTATTTCTCTCACAACTCGATGAGCTACAATTCAAGCTCAACACTTTAATGGCCAGCTTTTGCAAGTTTGAAACTTGATTTTCATAATTTCTCCACCATTCACGTGTAATATAATTAAAATAATTGACATTATTTAATTAAAAACAAAACAAACAACATTAAAAGGAAATCAAACTCTTGATTTAAACTAACCAAGAATTAAAGTATATTTTTGTCTTATAGCTGCATTCAAACGAAAGATTCCATTAGCTCTTTTGTACAGGACAACTCAATTGTAATTTATCTACCTCTTCTTCAAAGCTACTCAACATCTCAATGCACTTGTGTAGTCAATGTGTCATTTTAAGATCAAATTCAATACTTGGATTGAAGTAGTAAGATTCGGGGTTTAAGAAATAATCTGTTGCATGTGGTGGGTGATATATCTTCTATCAATGATCTCAAATACATATATATAGAGAGAAAGAGAGTGAAAAAAGATCTTCTTACACTAGTGTAAGTCTAAAAATTTTTACACTTAATCTGAGTCTTTCATTGAACTTAAATCTAACGGCTAGTAAAATAATAAATTATAACCCGTTAGATTTAAGTTAAATGAAAGGTTCAAATTGAGCGTAAATTTTTAAACTTACACCAGTATAAGAAGATTTTGTCCTATATATATATATATATATATATATGTATCCCATTTTTAGCCTTTTTCATTGTTTACAAGCTTTAATACACGCAGAAGAGGCCTCATCACCTGAAGAGTGTACAAGACTTCATTCCAAAATGTAAGCATCAATATAATGTCAGTTGTCTTCTTACTATTAGTCTCTTTGGCTGACTTTAATTTCTACCAAGCATCCGAAGTGAACATTTTTTTAAAAGTTATTTTTTTTGTTTTTGCAACATTTACAAAGTAAGGAATTTTGTAGCAAATCTAGTAACTCTATGTCTAACCAATTCCATCTTTTTTGTGAACTTTATTAAATTTAAAGCCAAGGAGTGATTGTATATGAATCTTACAAGAGAACAACCCTTTTGTATAGTCCTTTTGGCTTTTGAAATCTTCCCAATATCCTCCAACATCAAGTCCAGACAATGAGCCATATGAGGCCAAAATAGGTGTGGTCTCGTTGCTTGTAAATATTTACCTAGGCAAGATTTTAAGAATTTGTATAAGATAAAAATAATAAAAATAGATTTTTGTAGTGTATAATACTTAAAAACTTAAATTCAAGTTCTTACCAGTCAAAACATAGATACTATCATTGTTAGTTACTATTTAGACAATATTTTCCTCTCCCATCTCATCTACAAAGGAATTTAAAAGTTCATGTAAATTTTCTTCAATTTTTACAAGTGAAAAAGCATCGACACTCTTTATGAACATTGTGCTACATGTACAATTTTCTAAGAAATTAATCAATGTCCTATTTTTCCTATCTGTCTACTAGTCTGACATAATAAAGCATTCCAAGTTCAATCATTCTATCTTCAAAGGTTTCATCGTCTCCTTTATTAGTTTCAATTCTTTTTTCAACAAAGGAACTCTGATTCCATAATAACTTGGTGGTTTTAAGTGTGAACTATAATTTCCAATTGCTTCAACTATGAATTTGAAGCTTTTAGACTTCATAACATTAAATGAGATTGAATTTCTATAGAAAAATTTCACAATGTATTGAATTGTCATTGTCCTTGCTTTTCTGTCACAAGCATCCTTGATGCTTGTTTGTCTTTGAACTTTTCCCAATTTAATTGATGCTTCTAGTTTTGTCATGATTAGCAAATCCAAAGGACATTTTAGATTTTTTTCCTTTCTTCACAGTAGAACCAATAGTAATTGATTCATTTGTAGGTCTTTTTTGAGCCTAAACAAGGTGTATTTGTTAAATCTCTTCTTCCTCATCTTCATCTTCCTTCAATTCATTAATTGTATCTTCTTCATTTTCAACTTTCTTTTGTTGATATACTTCAATGAGTTTCTTCTTAATTTCCAATGGAATTTTTTTTTACAAGCACCCACATCTTCCCTTATACCCATTTGGTGTTTTTTAGCTTTTTTAATCTCCCTTGCTGTGGTTTTTAAACAAAAGTCACATGTAACACTCTTTTTATTGTTAATATCTTTAGGGCTATCCCATTGTTAAGCAATGTCAACATTTTCTCTGGTGGACTTTACCAAGCCACAAGCAGCAATTGCAATAAAGTTCCTTGCTTTTGTCCTTGTCGGGAAGATGTCATGGAAGGGGAAGTAGTAATCTAGAACAGCAAAGAGAGCATGGATTTTTTTCTTTCCAAGCAAGAGAGTGTGAACATAAGAATAGAGCTTTATCTCTTTGAGCAAAACAGGGTATGAAATTGTGAACAGCTACGGAGAGTGAAAACAGAAAAGTAGACCATGAACAACAAAACAAAGTTTGAACAGCAAGGTAGAGGATGAACAGAAAAAACAAAGCTTTATCTCCTTCAACAAAACAGGACATAAAATCATAAACAACAGAGGAGAGTGCCAATAAAAAAACATAGCATGAAAAGAAAATCAGAACTTGAACAATAAAGTAGAGGATGAGTAGAAAAAATAGCTTGAAGTAAGAGTGACTTATTTCTCTAGTGAATAGAGACGCCGGAAAAGAGACACCTAAAAAGTTGATTTGGTTGGCAAAATCAACTGGGTGAGTAGATGAGGAGGGAAAAAAATGAGAAATTGTTTTGTCTCAACCCGACTTGTAAAGAAGAGCGTGGGGAAGAAGATGAAGTTGATTAGATATATAAGTTTCAAAAAGGATAGTCAATGATTTTTCTATCCTTAAAATTAATCAAAATACATAATTTAGGAAAACAGAATACGGTTCAATGAAAATGCGCCATTTTAATAAAATAGAATAGGGTTATTTTACTTTCCCTTCCCCAAATCGTGTGATAGGCACACAAATTGCTCCCATCATGGCCGCTAACTTTAGCAACTACCGTGATGTGACAATTGCCCCACAACGCAATAGTAGTGGTAGTTGACGGCTGCACCGCACCGGCACGCTGCGACTATGGTTTGATAAATCCTTTGTTACGTAACTCCCATTTGTAATTAGTTGTGACATGTTAGTAAGGACTCGTTAATAGTTAGTTATAATATATCAGTTAGTTAGACTGGATTAGTTAGTGGTTAGTCGGCTAAGAGTGTAGAAGAAATAAGCATTGTTTGTATAATAAGAGGGAGGCAAACAGAGAGATCATACAGTCATTTGTGAAAGGATTAGAGCCTTTATGCATTGGGAGCGAATAGGGTCTCTCGAAATACACACATTTTGTCTCTTTTCTTCACTGCTTTCTTTGTTTTGATCCAATTCTATCAATTGGTATCAAAGCTCCGATCTTGAAATTGTAGTATCAAATTTTGAAGATGATTCCAACATTTGATGGATAGTAGGTTTATTGGTGACTAATTAGTATAGAGTAGTGTCTTTAGGCCATTGGAGTGCTAGAAGAGGAGAAATTATCTTGGACAGGTTGCCACATTTCACTTTTCTGTCAAAGTCTGGCAGGTTCTAGACTTGGACGGCAACAACTTTGAGAGGTGTTGCTGTCAATTGGTGGCTTTGCTAGAAACAATGTAGTCAAAAGACAAGTTGGTGGACCTTTGTAAAGGCAATGCTCAAGATATTTCAACTTGAATGTGATCCAAAATTATTTGCATCTGTTGAGGATGAGGAGCAAGAATTAGGTGCAAGAAAGCAAAAAAGAGATGAAAATCTAGACAAAAAAGAACCAAAAGTGTGGAAACCAAAAACAAACTCAGAAAAATATGTAATTGTCCAAGAAAATGAACATAAATCATGGAAACCAGAAATCTTGGAATTGAAGACAAACAAATAGGAAAAAATTCAAAGGAAACTAGTTCATCGGTCAATAACAAAAACTGGAAGAGCGCAATGGATTACAAGTAGTTGAGATAGAGAGACAGCGGGTGCTATAAGTTCTGAAAACAAGCTTTCTTCGATGGAAGGAGACCATCTTTTTAGTTGTAAGATGCAGAAATACATGCAACATCATTTGGAAAATAAAGAAAAGATAACAATAAACTGTGATTTGCTTAGAAAACCTTGGATTCTCAATACACTTGCAGAGGCAATGAGGCTCCGTTTCAGGGCTAAAAATATTAAAGAAAACAAAACGTTGAAAGAAATTTATTGTAGCCACTTGTTTGTGTTTGACTTAGGAGGGCTTGAGAATATTTTGGGACTGTAGTAGTGTAATTAGTTTGATTATCATGCTTCAATTAGTTGGAACCCCAATGGAACTTTCTTTGCAGCTGCCACAGCTATTCACCTAGAGGACAATGTGAAACTTTAGGGAGAAAGTATTGTTAGATGATTTTCATTTGTAATTAGTTATGACATATTAGTTAGGGACAAATTAATAGTTAGTTACAATATATTAGTTTGTAGTTAGCCAATTGAAAAAATAAGACATATTGCTCCTATAATAAGAGGGAGGCAGAGAGAGATCAAGATGTCATTTGTGAAAGGATTAGAACCTTGAAACATTGAGAGAGAACATAGTATTTCGAATATCCTGAGTTGTACAGGAGAATAATACAAATTTTGTCTCTTCATCTATTTTCTCTATTGTTTCCTCTATTTTGATCAAATTATATCATTCTTATTCAATAAGCACTTAATTAAGTTTTTTTATCCAAATGCTCCTTTATTTCCTATATATCTCTTTTACACAGCCCATGGCTTCTTGTTTTTGGCAAAGGCATATGGACATAGCGGCTTGTCTGGCAATCTCATGCCATGGGTGAACATCATGCACATATGTTTGACAAACCAGTTAATTCTCATGATTTTGAACTTCGATTGAAGGCTGAGATTTATTATAAGCCTCTTTCACGTTGGGACACACCCCCCCCCCCGCTCCGCCAAAAATAAAGGATTTTAGAAGCTCTAGCTCTTCCCTTACTTTCAACTAGCTACAACTGCATAATCATTCAATAAGTTTGATAGAAAAAAAAAACGTTAAAATAGGACCAGCTATATAAATAAGACTCAATTTAGATAAACTTTTAGAAAAGTCTTTACAGAAAAAAAAATCAGTATAAAAACTAAATAAAATTTCTTTTATAAGTTAAAAATTACTTATCTTTTAAATTTTAGAGAAGTTAAATGAGAAATCTTCTTAAAAAAGAAGTATAAATTGTTTCTAAATAAAGAGAAAAGTTTTATTAATTTTAAACTAATTCTTTTTTTTTTAAAGACTTATTTAAAATTTTTACCAAAACTAGACCAGTCCTCTTGTTGTCAGTTTAGTTCAGAGTTGTCGAAGTAGCATCAATAATCGCTTTATTGGAGTGGGAGGGTTGGTAGGTTAGAGGATCCAATCTTCTGGGCTTAAGAGAGTTAACATGAATAAAAACTGAGACAGAGAAATGAAAATTTGCAAGAAAAAAAAAACATATGAAGAAATGAAAAATGTAGTAAACTTCATGTATAAAGCTTTATTCTTGTCAATCGTGGATTCAACTTCACTTCTTACATTCAGTTTCTATATTGTTGTTACACATTAGTGTTGCGGATCCTGGAATTGTGCAGACAAACATCATGCGAGAAGTTCCAGCAATCCTATCTTGTTTGGCATTCTTTATATTGAAACGTCTACGCCTATTGCAATCCCCAGAATGTGGGGTTGACTCAATTATCGATGCTGCACTTGCCCCGCCTGTAAGTACTCTTAGTGGTGCTTAATAATGTTTTATACTTTTTACTGCATGTAATTGCTGTTTCTGATTGACCAAAGTTGTTTAATCAACCAGTTTGCTTACGTATTCCATCACCCGTGTTTTGTCTTGTAAGACAAGCTTGTACCTGATGCAATATCAAATGCCTTAAGCCTTTATCCTTTCTGTGATGGTAATTTATCTTGAACTCAGCCTAGGAAACAATATTTGGTCATGTCGACAAGTTTTTACACACTTTGGAGGATCCAAGTACGCGTTATAATACACATACACAAATTGTCACTTCAAGAAAATATGTTTCTCTCAAATTCCATCCGGAGTAACTCTGCAATATTTACTTATGAAATAAAATTCCTCATCTAATAGGATATTAATACGTATGCTCCCAAAAGAAATATATTTTTGTTACTCTTGTACTACTACATCGTGTTCTGTTGAAATGACTAAAACAATAAAACAATAAATAAATAAATAAATAAATATATATATATATATATATAATTATAGCTGTTTTCCTGGGTTACAAGTCTTATGAGTAATTTCATCAGCCATTTTGCCTATGTATCAGGTACTTCCATTTGCAGTCTATATCATTTTCAGTCCTGCTTTAGTGTTTCCCAATTTTCCCTAATTTTTCCTAGCTGTCGCCAACTATTGACTAATGATTTATGATGTTCATTATATTGTAAATGACCAAACCATCTAGGTTGACTTTTCCTCATCTTAAGTAATCGTTGTCTACTAAATGGATGTACTAAAAAAAAAAAATATCAGTCGTACAATTGCTGGATATACCCTTTAGCATCATTTTGTTTCCTCCATTCTATCTTATGAACTACATAGAAAAGAAAAATTAATTGGGCTTAGAACAATCTCCTGAAATCTTCCTTTTTCACTTCGAGGTCAGCGTTTATCACTTCATCCATTAAGTTCCTATCACTTAAGACTACAGCTTACGTGACCAAAAAAACTACTACAGCTTCAATCTCACCATTGTTTTGAATAATTGATCTTAATAATTAGTTATGGCATTCTATATGCAGATGCCAGTACTGATCTATCATGCCTGCTCTAATTTTTTTCAATTCTAGTCTTGACTGGAGCCATTGAATTTATGATGTTAAATGGACTTTTGCTTTTTCAAGGGAACATCAGGAGCTTACTTTTTTGGGGGGAAAGGTAGGACTATCAACTCTTCAGCACTTTCACGAAACGCCAAATTAGGCCGTGAGCTTTGGGAAACTACATGTAATCTCCTATCAGGGACTCCTTTTGGTGCCGAGATAAACAGCTGTTAGCACTGGATATCAGGTCATATCCTAAGCAAAGTGAATAGATGGCAGTTCCCCTGTCTAGATTGAAGTAGTAACTTTTTGCACTGCCCCTTTTCTTAATTGCATTACCTTTAAAAAAAATTGTAAGTTTTATTCTTAAAATACTTTTACAGTGGTTTTAGACATAATAAGATTAATTCATAATGCGTCACTAGTAAGTGGCAATGATAACCATTTTTTAAAATTTAAAACTTGAGAAGATTAAAACAAACAGTATTTTTAAAAACTAAAGTTGTATTTATAAAGATAAAATATATTTAAGCTTTATATTTCATTTTTTAGAATTATAATCATTTGTTAAAATACACTCATTTATTCTTTATACTTAACATTTATTTATAAATTAGTTCATACATCTAAAAAAATTTGCATTTTAGTCTTAAGTGCTATGTTATATTTTAATTGTTTTTGAAATAATATTGTTAAAAAAATTAATTAAATAAATAGTAATTTTTATTAATAATATTATAATGGAAAAAATATTTGAACACGAACTAAAATGTAAATTTTTATGTACAATAAATAAATTATAAATAAGCATTAACTGTGAGAAATAGATGTATATTTTAACTTAATTACATGAATGTGCTAAATGAATAAAATGCAAAATAGGAAAAAACAATTAAACTCGCCCAGGAGAGGAAGAGAACTTTATAATGTTCCTCTATTGTCTCTATATCCAGGGTTCCCTCTCATTGTGGAACATTTCCACATCAAACTCTTTTATCAACCTTTATGCCTTGAGCTTTCATCTTTGTTGCCGATTTCTTAATCATCCGGTTTTATTGAGGCATTTTCCCTTTAGCGAAAAGGATTTTATCTTAAACATTATTTAATTGTCTAGAGCTTCTTAACTAATGTAATGTATGGCCTAACTTATTTTGGAATTTTCTTTTTCTTAAAGGGAGTTGGGCTTAGCAGAAATTTTAAGAAATCAGCCTTTTTAAAAAAGTATCTTTTAAATTAAAATAATCTAAAAAATGATTTTACTTTTGCACTTTACCATGAAACTGCATCTGAATAGAATAGCCTTAGAAGGTTGAGCTCGTGTACCCGAACTATGAAATTGTCTCATTCTTTAAGAAATGGATATGTAAAATTCTCCGGATCGGACAGGATCAGGAGATTATTAGCTTTTGGTTTAGAAAGTAACTTACTAAGAGAAAAACATAGTAGGAGGAGAGAGAGAAATTTTATGTTTTAAGAAAAACTTAATTTACTTAAATAATTCTATCAATACAGTTGTATAAATAAAATATAAACAGCTTTTTTTGTCTAAATATTTTAATGCATGTTGCTGCATACTTCTTTTTAATTTGTACTTTACTCTTGTTAGCAAATCCCTTTAACAATACATTACGTAACAAAATTAATTTAAAAGTATCTTTGAAGTTTTAGAAGTTATAAAATTATTCATCAATTTTTATTTTTAATTTAAAACAATTTTCTTTTAGATTTAATTACACTTTTAGTTCTTATACTTTAGTTTATGTGTAAATTTAATTTTTCTAATTTTAATTGTTCACATTTAGTCTTTTTTTTAATGCTCAAATCAAGTTATTCATCTCAAAATTAAGATATATTTTATACATTTTATATAATTTTTTATTGTTAATCAATATATATTTTGTATTTAAATATTTATATATTTTTATTTGTTTATATAAATCAATATATGGTTATCTCTTCGATATCTTTTAATTAATTATTGAATAAAATTTTAAAGTAGATGATTTAATTTAAGTAATTGAAAAACTGAAAAAAAACTGAATGTAAGTAATTTAAATTAGAAAGATTAAAATATACATATGTTGAAGTATAGAAACTAAAAATGCAAAAAGTTTTTTAAGTTTCAAAACAGTCAAATTTTATTTATGACATTGAATTTGAATTTTCAACCAAATTTTTAAGGAAAAGAAGTAAATGATCTTGCACAGCAGAATTTACCATAATAATGAGATTTTGGATAGATCTCTTGTGACATACAGGTTGTGGACAGAGATATGTGGTTGGCACATTCAAAAGTAAGCCACACCACTGCTTGGCGCACTTTCACTTGAGATTTGAGGATTGGAACTATGCCACCAAAGAAACAAATAGGCAATAGGTAATGCAAATGAATGATTGAATATATTATTTAAGCACTCACTAGGATTCATGTGGCAAACCATCCAATGAGTTAGCTCACTAATTGATGACATATCCTACTCAAATGCACCATACTCATCCAACCCAACATTTGATGCCATTTTCATACACCAATCATGACTGGAACAAGACCAATGTCAAATAAAGTTATTGCAAATGCTTTTTACTCCCCTAAAGCTTTAAATATAGACAATAAAATATAATAAAGATTATTAATTTTTTAAATTATTTTTATAATTTATTTCATAATGTCAATTATTAAATTTTTAATCAATGATTATTATTATACTGGTCAACTCTAATAACTAATTTAACATTAACCTATGTAAGTTAGAACTAAAAAAACTCACGGAATTAAAAAGTTTAGCGCGTAACAAGCTCACAGGGCAAAAAATTTATTAAGTTAAGTGGATTAAGACTAACTTACGAGCTAATTATTTTTAAAAGCATTATTATAATTTATTAAAAATATTTATTTTATGTAAGATTTTTTATTATAAACTTATAGACAAATAAAATAACTTAAAAATTAGATGAAAAATAAGAAAATTTGTATAATATTAAATATTTAGAATGAATTATTATTATTAAATAACATATAATAATTTATTATCAAATTAAGTTATATATTTATCTAATTTTTATTTTTATTATTAAATTATAGTAACATTTTTATTCATATAATTTTATAATATTTTTTAACACGTTATTTTATAATTTTATTTAAGTATTAATTATAAAAATTTTATTTATTAATATTTTATATTATTTTTATTTATTCTATAAAATTATTTCAGAAATATTATATGTTTAATAAATATTTTTAAAGTCACAGTAGATATAAAATTAAACACAAAAAGTAATGCTAGCTAAATTTGTTAAGTCATATGTCATTATCAAAATATTCAAAAATAAAATATAACACCGTTATTATAAAAATTATAGATATATGATACTTAATATTAACAAATTTATTTTATTAAGGAAAAAATTTATTGACTGTTTTCAACAACCATTAATAAGGAAGCACGAGAGATGAATAACAAACGATTTGAAATAGGTCAATAGGTGTAAGAAATTTTTTGGAAAAAGTAATTATTTTCATAGAAGGAAAATTTATAACAACAATTGTAAAAAACTATAAAGAGTAAAAGACAAAAAAAAAAGTGAATGACATGTTGTGGAAGTGTGATAGGGACAAAAAATATAATGTATAATCTGCTTATCATTATATTTATCATTTATTTACTACTAGTAGCGATTTGGAGCTGAGTCTAATATAAGTTTTACGCAAGATTTAGAAGGTAGTAATATTTGTTTGGCATCTATTGCTTAATACAATTCTAATGTGAAAGAATTTGATCAAGCGTAGATTGACGATTCCCTCGTAAGTTTGTGAGTTGTGTGATACTAAAAATGAGGACACGTTGCATTATTTTTTGCATTGCAGTGTCTTCATTAAACTATAGTATATAGTGTTTAAATGATTTAGTGTTAATTTATGCTTACCTAGAGATTTACATGAGTTGTAATGATATAGTTTATAGTAGTATGGATAATTTGGTTTCAACGAAATATCTTCAATAGAAGTGTGTTAAATGTTAATAAAATATTTGATTCTATTAAATATTGTTCTTAGAAATGGCTTGCATAACTTTTAGAAAAATTGATTGTATATGTGAATTAGATTAATAATCCTTAACATGTATTGTTAATTTCTTTTAGAATTATAACAAGTTAGAATATCTCTTATACTCTAAATTTATTATTAATAAAATATTGATGATTAGTAAATATATATATATATTTATTGATGTATATAAGTTTAAAAACTTAGCAAAAATAAATTATTGTTTGCAAATTTAAATTTTACCTCATCTTAATTTGATAAAATTTATTTTTAAAGTAAAATAATTTAATTTGATATAAATTTTTATATTTAAAATATAATTTTAATAAAATTTAAATAAAATATTTTAAATAAAATATTTTAATAAAAATTATAAACAAATACATATGTCTTTTAATAAAAAAAATAACACAATAATTATTAATTACCTTTTAAAAGATGTAGGCTAACTCATCTTTAACCTTGACCCTAATCACTATTAAGACCTACTAACAAAGTAAGCTCATTATATTAATTAATAATTTTAAGAAATATTTCTAATCAAAATTTGTATAATTTTTTAATGCAAAACACTAATTTAAATTTTTTTATATCATTGTAAGATATAATAAGAAAAAAAATATTTTTTAAAATTTATATTTTTATGAATTAGGATATTTTATTTATAATAATATTTATAATCTTATCATTCTTGAAAATCATGTTTATACATCTAAATTTTATTTCAAATTATAAGTAAGCAAAATCTTTTAAAGCAAAATAATCAAAGATTAAAATTTTAAAGCATGTCAAATTTATTAAACTAAATTTTAAAATAAAAAGAATCATATATTATTATTATAAAATTAAAAGTGTTTAACTTAATAACTTAATTTTTGGTTTATTAACGTGTATCTAAGAACCAGCACTATAAAACTTGGATAGATTATTAACAGTTTAAATATTGAGTTAATGTACCAGTTTGAGCGGAGTTTAAGAATATTGCCAAGGAGACATGATGCAAATTTATATATGATAAAAATATAAAGAATAACAAAATATCATAAAGTTTAAGCTCTTAATAACAATAAAAATATATATTTTTAATTAAAAAAACTACTTTTATTTCTTACTATATGCTTTTAGACACATATTCAAAAATTAGTTAACTTTTAATACAAACAAAAAAATTAATTAAATAATTAAAAAATTGACAATAATTATTACTTTAGCATGAAAAAAAAAAATATTACTAACATACTAACATACTTTTTGTTATTTTTAAAAATAAAAAATTTATATAAAATTCACTCTTAATTTAATAATATTTATTTCTAGTTTAATAAATTTTTATACTTATATATATATTTTAAATTTAATTAATAAATTAAAATGTATTAAAAATATTTTTTAACACTTTAAAATAAATAATTTTATATAACAGATTTAATTATTATTAATTTAAATCGTTAAAAAATACATATAAAAAATATCAATCAAACGCATAAATTATAACCATTGATATTAAAATAAATTAGTTAATCGTCTGCAAAATGCACATGCATGCACGTGTAATGTATTAGATATTTTATGTTAAATAATATATATTTTAATAATTAAAAATAAATTTTATAAATTTTTAAAAAATATATAATAAAATTATTTTTAATATCTTTTTTAAAATATTTTAATTTACATAATATATAAAATAATAAGAAATTTTTATAAATATAAGCAAAAAATAAATTTTTTTACATAAAATAAATAATAATTTTTATTTTTAAAATTTAAAATAAAATTAATAAAAAAATAAATGTTTTTAATAGGAAAACTGAATCCCATACTAAATCGGTGTTTTAGAAGTGAGTATATACAACTGATTTATCGGCGGCCCCATTTGTTTCCTTTACCGAGTTAATAATTATTATTTAGAATTTTGGGTGTATGAATTTACGGTATGTGTATTTATTTATGTTATGATATGATTGTGGGAGATCTGGCAGTGACACTAACACTGCCACTGCCACACGGTTACAGTTCAATTAGATGGTATGCGGCGGTGATGTGAGGTCTATGGTTCTTCAACTCGGAATTGCGATTCGATTTGGAACCTTCAACAAAGGCCTCTCACTTCAACAACATCTCAATTGCATCCGCATTCCAAGCATCGCTCATTTTCCGAATCGTGGATTCAAGACCATCACAAGAGTAATGGATGACAACTCTTCTATGCCGCGTGTAGCAACCCCTGTGCTCGATATCATGGGTTTTCCCAGTGGTGCCTGGAAAAGGTTAATAATATAATGTTTTGATTTTATTTTGTGTTTGCGATGAATTTGATAAGTGTGTCTACAATGCTTTCCATCCTCATTCATTTGATTGAATTTATACTATGTGTTAGGGTTCGCCTAGTTTGTAAGATTTTTTTTTTTTTTTAAGAATAAAAGATATTGTTTTTGCAACTATTGATTATCCAGGAATGCTGAGTATAATTTGCTCTTGTTAGGGCATTGTAAGAAAAATTATATTTTAACTTATTTTTAATGCATGTTGGTGAAAAAAAAAATGAAAATTTATGGGTGAGTATTGTCCCTCAAAGTCCCACATTGGACACATGTTGAGGCCGATGGTAGTTTATAAACACCCAAGGCGAAGTAAAGGAATGTTTTAATATTATGCTAGAGTGTTTGCTGTTACTACATTACCATATTTGACTTTTGATGGCAATATCAACTGGAGTTTGCAAATGCAGTTTTAATTAAGAGGAGGATGCATCATGGTTGGTCAATGCTAAGACTTGTTGAAATTAACATGCTGATTTTTTATTTTTTTATTGTATCTTTGTGCACACAAAATTATACTGAAGCAACATGCAATAGCTATGGCAGATAATAATTTTTGTTAGAAGATCTTCAACTACTTTTGGTGGCAACCAGTGTTGATTTGGTTCTTGAAGTTTGCTTGTAAATGATTTAGTTCCTGAGCCTGTCAACTTCATGACAAATTAGTCTTTCCTTCACGAAGTTGACCAAATTCAAGGACTAAATTGTTACAAATTAACAAAGCTAAATTGGGGACTATACTCCATACTTGCATACTTTTATGGATCAAATCAACAGAAGTTGCCACTCATTGGGACAAATCTTTATATTTACTATATTTATTTCTAGTTTTTTTGACATTCCTAAGCTGAATTCAGCTTTATTTATCCAGAATAATTCCAATGGATGTCAAATTTTACTATGGCTTACTTAGAAAAGTATGAATTTAATGAATAATTGCATTTGCTTGAGTGATTGGATTTGTATTATACTTTTTTCCTGTCTATCTTGTGATCAATTGTGCTTATTTCATCCTATTTTCAATTGGCAGCGAAGATGGAAGACTTAGCTGTGGATATTCAAGTTTTAGGGGGAAGAGAGTGACCATGGAGGATTTCTATGATATAAAGACATCAAAGATAGACGGTCGATTGGTGAGCTTATTTGGAATATTTGATGGTAAGACTTTCAAGCTTCGTCACTTCCTTGGGAGAGATAATTCTTTCCCCTTCTCCATACAATACAAGGGAAAAAGGTGTTGTACAGAGGATTTCTTTAATTATTGGCTATCCATGTTGTGTAAGCCTCCATGAATGAAATATTTTCATGATATGCAAAAAGACACAATAGCAGGCCAACGGAATAACCTTAAAAATTCAGGAAAGCATTTAACATGAGCTTGAATCAAATGGTTTATTGTTTACATTTCCAATATGACTAACTGCAACTAATTATTTTGTTTCTTGCCCTAAGCAGAGTAAAAAAGGAGAAAAATGAAACAATCCAGTTATGTTTCTGGCATCTAATGTCATTTCTAAAATGCTTCATCGGTTATATATGTTAGGCTGTTTGTAGTTTGTGGTTGTCATGTTTTGAGATAAACTTGGTATTCATGTGCCTACCATACAAAGCCTGAGCAGAAAAGGTTGGAGTTATACTCTAAAAGTTGTTATCCACTGTCTAACCTCCATCAAGGAAAAAAAAAAAAGGAAACTATAAAAGTGAAGAGGGAATAAATATGAAAAGAAATGCAAATAACCTGCTTCAATTTTATTTTTTGGCAAATAACCCTCCTCTTCATCTAACCTTATGGAAAATAACAATTTTTAAGTTTGGAATTTCTTCACTTGAACTTTTAACATGCTGAAAATAACCCTTACCATACAAAATTTCAAATGTATTTATTCTAACTGAAAATGCAATTGCTATGAATTGCATTTAAGGACATTTTAAAAGAATTGGATCAGAAAAGATAGAAAGAATGAAGTATTCATTGCAGAACGCCAATATCCCAGCAGATACCAATATGATATTCTACTACGTTAGGGCAGAAGGAATACAAGTGTTAACCTGGATGCTTGAGTGACCTGGGCTCTCCTAACCCTTCAATCGGTTTTCTCTCCCAAAAAGATACTTCATTCTAGTTTCTCTCTTATTTTTATGCAGTTCCTCCCTCGCCAGTTACAACCTCCCCTCTTACTAAGTAACCATCAATAAATTCTATAACAATGAATCATATTCTGTTACACTGAGTTAAGACCGCCTTAGGTCTGATTCCCTGTTCCTTGTTCTATTTCTCCTATTATAGACTGTAGTTACTGGAGGTTTATAACATTTCCTTGAGATGCAAACTTCTTGAATCAAGTTTCACCAAGCACTCAACTCAATTGACCTCTTCTCCTTACATTTATTTTCCATTTTTTAGTGAATGGAGAGAACCGAATGTAAAATGTTTGAAGCTTAAGCAGTTTGATTTCTTAAATTGAATGTTGACGCTAACAGGTGTCATTGACTAACAGTGAAGTCGATGTTTATAATTTAGCAAAATGAACAGAAAGGAGAAAATATGATATCAGATATTAGCTGCTATTTAGGGTGCGTGTTTATCTGTTCATAAATGCCATTGATCATACATGATCATATGTTCTGTTGTCTTGGTAGATGTCAAAATAAATTCTTAAAATTCCATACAGGTCATGGTGGTTCTCGTGCTGCTGAGTATTTAAAGGAGCATCTATTTGATAATCTCCTGAAGCATCCAAAGTTTTTGAAGGATACTAAATCTGCCATAAGTGCGTTTGTGTTCTCGCATGCTCACCTTCCAAGTTTGACTTCTTGTAATATTGAAGATGTGTCACTATTTTCCATTAGTTTATACTTTCCTGTCAGATCCAACATCATTGGAACTGTTTGAGTGTGAATTGTTGGTCCCATATTTTTTTAGGGCCTTGGGGCTGGGTTCCTGTGTGCCGTGTGGGGATTCTTTTCATTTCCACCATATATGCAATTATAGTAACTTCAGTAAGCTTGCAGGTGAAACATATCAGCAGACTGATGCCGACTTTCTGGATTATGAAAAAGATACTTTCCGGGACGATGGTTCCACAGCTTCAACAGCAGTTTTGGTTGATAACCATCTTTATGTTGCTAATGTCGGAGATTCTAGAACTATAATATCAAAAGCAGGAAAAGGTAATATTTAGATTACCTACTGTATTTTGATTTCTTCACATTTCAATTGTTGTCTAGTTTTTACAAGCATTTCCTTGCCTGCAGATAGGGTTTCTTGTATGATTATATGCAAGGTTGACACATTGGTTATCTAGGCCTAAAGTGAATTCTAGGATGAAGCATTCAAAAAAATATATTAAAATTTTAATTGAAATTTATCTTTCAAGATTTTTGAAATGCAAAATTACTTATTTAACTACATAATCAATTTCATTTAAAAATTCATTTTCAATCTTTAATAAAGTCAATTCATTTAATCTTCTAGAGACTCCTTTGATTTTAGATAAGAATTTCTTAATTTTTATTTTGAAAAAAAAAATTCTGATAAAGCACAGTTGCTGTGTGAAATTTATGAGTAATATATACTTTTAAAGAATCAAGTCTTCCACTATTGAGAGATCCACTATTGCTGAGTTTCCTACTTTTTCTCAGATACTACGTTGCTATGCTATTGAAAAGGACAAACAAAATGTTGAGAGGTTAAGGAGATTGGGTGAAAGTCATTTGTCATCGTCTTAATTAGAATTCGAATGTTTAGAATGCCAATAGAAAGCTTGATAAAATTTTGGAGTTTACCATTTAAAATGTTCAATAATAGAAAATGTATATTTTAATTGGATTTGAAAGTAAGATAAAGATATAAATAAAATAGTTGCTAATAAAGAGATAAACTGATAAAATGAAAAACCTATTTTAAGTAAAAAATCATCACTTTAAATATTACCTATTAACTAATTTATAACTTATTTATTGTAAGAAGAGAATATTGATAATAAGTAATTTTTTGTGGGCCTAGCTAACCCTGATTATATGATTAATTTTTTTATGAATTTTGTTAACTTCAGTCTTCAGGGTTGAGTTAAGCATCCATAAATAGAAAATTTTTATGCAAAAAGTACACAGTTACTGTATTAAAGTTATAAAAGTGCAATAAATACTTCTTTTTTTAATAAAATTTTATTATTATTAGCTGCTTATCATCAATTTTAAGGATTGAGGTTAACAAAATTATTTTTTTATTTACTTTTATTTGAATGCATTTTGAGAATTAGTTTATGTAGGGACTTCTTAAACTCTTCCTTTCCTTTTTGACAGCAATTGCTCTCTCTGAGGATCATAAGCCTAATAGGAGTGATGAGCGGAAGAGAATAGAGAATGCTGGCGGTGTTGTCATGTGGGCAGGTGACACATGATATTCAAGCATAGAAACTACTGCTTTAGATGGTTCGACTGTTGATAATATGCTTTTGGCACATTTTGGTGCAAGATATGATAGGGATGGTTCAGATTTTGATGGGCTTTCCATCAGATTATCTTTGGACAAAGTTGAGATTTGAAGTAATTTTGTGGTGACATTGGAAATTTTATGCAGGTTTTTGTTGACATAATAATATGTATGGAATAGTATGTCCTGGCTGATTGATGTGTTTTGAATATACTTCTGTGGAAATCTTGAAGCAAAAAGTTTAAACTACATTGGTAAATGTGTTAGTGGCTTACATGTCTACTACATGTTAAATGTTTTAGATACAAATTAGTAGTTGAAGTAGGTGTACAGCATATTGACATTTAATTGATGTATGCAGGTAGCATCTGTGTTCCCAACTTATAGTAGATTGGAATAACAACATGCTTCATATCTTCACCTTAAAATATTCCAGCCATCCAAGGGATGGAATTTGATGAAGAAATGGAATGATTTGCCCAGGGAAGATATATTCACAGGTGTTTATTTGCTGATCAGGTACTTGGAGGGTTGGAGGGGTGCTAGCAATGTCTCGTGCTTTTGGCAATCGTATGCTGAAGCCGTTTGTCGTAGCAGAACCGGAGATCCAGGTGATCATTGATTTACCTTTCGAATCTCAATGTTATCTAATCTATTAATTGCTTGGACGGCCCAAGCTAGTCATCATTTTCCCTGCATGGATGCCTAATCCTAACGATGAATGTGTCTAGCATAGCCAGAAACTATTAACTTTCTAGCTTTTCTGGGGGAATACCCTAGATAAACATTTCATATTTGAACATTTATTGAGAGAGTGGCATATCATAAGTTTGAGGGGGCCATCGTGATAATGTATTGACGGCTCCATAATTCATATATAATTTCTAATCTTTAACACCAATTTAAAAAATGTGTATTCAAGTTACACTACTAGAAAATTCGAAAATATAGACAGATTTTTTCACTATTATAGACGAATTTTAGCATTGCAGACGGCTACAGTCTGTCTATAATCTGCGCGTCGGTAAATAATTACAGATGAATTTTTAAATCTGTCTGTACTACAGACAGAAAAATCCGTCTGTAATTCATTTATGAAATTTCAAAAAAATTGTTTTATTTTTTATAAATATAATTATTTCTCGTTATTCCTAATTATCACAATTTATAAACATAATAAAAACTACAAAATTATATATTTAAAATTAAAATTTATTTATAAAATATAAAATTAAAATTTCATTACAAAGAAAGAAATAAACATATAAAAAAATAATATAAAAATAAAATAATATTTTATATCACTAATAATCGGCGTGATTATCTTCCGAAAAAGTATCGCCATCAGTAGAAGAGGAGTCAGAAGAGGAAGATGTGTAGAGGTACTTGCTCTCATGAGCTCAAAGTATGCATGCATCTGCTGCATATGCATATGCTGTGTTGCATCTATTGCTGCACCTCCTTGTGCATTCTCGATGTCACTTTCTTCTTTATCTTCTTCTCCATTTTTTTTGCCCACTTCTTCTTCCATGCACTTTCCTTGCTCTTCCACATCTCTTCATTTTGCTTCTGCAGTTCTTCATTGAAGGCATGGACTTGAGTGCGGACCATATCTTCCACTTCCTCAGGTACAAGAGAAAGAGCATCTCCGGTAACAGATGCAGGGGACATAGAGTCTGCAAAGTGATTCCCCATGCCGTAAATGCGGCCTTTATAAAGGCCACCCACCATCTCTGACCATGTAGTATCATGGTCAACTGACTCTGGATATTGAGAAGATGTCTCCTCAAGCCTTTGAACATAGTTATCCTATAATTCAATGATATATTAGTCTTGAATACTATATAATAAACCATTAATAATAATATATAGTGTCAATAAGGATAACTTACATATGTGGCCTAAAATCGTGTATCAAGCCACAAGGTTTTGTCTCCCTTGCGAGTATGTGTCTCCTTGAACACCTCTCCATGTGTAGGTGGTCTCTTCAGTGACTTTTCTTGCAATTTCAATTAAATCACCGTCTCACTCATCAATTATAGATTGAATAAAAAATTTTAAAAGAAAATTAAAAATTACATACTAAGTTCGCTTTAGTGCCAACCAAAGTCGTAGAACTATCAGTATGCAATGATCCTCTTTTTAAGGATACCTTGTTTGTCTTGTTCTTTACGGAAAGATTTTTAAATTCATCTAATACTCCTGCAAGACATAAAGGAAGTTGGGTGCTATCCAATCAGCATATGATGGATCCTAACGGGTTTCAGTGTACATCTGTCTTAGTCGCTTTGCAGTGCGACTCTTCTATGCCTTGAAAATCATCTTTTCATCCTGGGAGAATGGAGAAGTTGCTCTATATAAATACAATTTCATTAGAAGAATTACAAGAAACAATATCTAATTACACTTAGCTGGAATTAATTAACTATTATTACCTTCCAATCTTTGAATCATTCCATCTTTGTATCCTTAGACACCTTTGCAAAACTTGTGTAAAGTGCATCAAACAATTATTATAACTTGTTTAAAAAAAATAGAATTATTATTCATATTTTAAATTTAACTTACCAAGTAGACACATCCCATCTTAAAGTTGGAAGCGATCTAGATGATGCCTGAGTTTGTGATGATTGTTGTCCACTTATATGAATATTTTCTTATATTTATTTACACTTAATAAAATAAATTTCTAATGTAAATTTTGGTAGAATCTCTCCTAATATATGAATATTTTCATATATTTGTTTACACTTAATATAACAAATTTCTAATATAAATTTTGGCAGAATTTCCCCTAGTATATGAATATTTTTCTATATTTGTTTACATTTAATACAACAAAATTCTAATGTAAATTTCGGCCAAAATCTTCCCTAATATATTAATATTTCCTTACATTTGTTTACACGTACTTAATATAAAAATCTAAATTTTCTTTACACATAATCTATATATTATGTAATAATCTATTAATCAATGCATAAAAAACATACACATTACAATCCTAAACCGTTCTAGAGCACATCTTCTTATAACTCTACAACATGTATATTCTACAAACTCCACAAACAAAAACAATCCAACAGTACACAATAATTAGGTTCGGAGAAGGACCTTTACGCCCTTCCCCCAGTCATACAATTTTCCATCCTACAACTCTATCTTAGAAATTTTAAGTTTCTAAAATACATCAAAAATAAAAAAACTAAACCGATTAGAAGTTAGAGTATCGTACCAGGAACACAATGATGCAAATTAAATGGATGCTCCAATCACTCGCAAAGGCCAAAAAATTGAAGCTCCTTGAGAGAGAGACAAAGAGAGGCGAGAGAGAGACAAAGAGAGGTGAGAGAGAGAGAGATTTATGAAAAATGAGGAAAGGGAAGGGAGAGGCGTGGATTTATGAGTTTCAGACATTACTGACAGAAAAATAATTTGTCTGTAAATGGTTTAATGAAATGGTGCGTTTTAAAGATCTAGTTACAGATAGATTTTTCTGTTTGTAAATTCGTCAAGTCCATTTACGGATGAAAAAATCTGTCTGTAACTCCCGCTCCAAATTTCTCTCCCTTATTCAAATTACAGACGAAAAAATTTGTCTGTAATTCCTGTCTATATTGTTTCGCACCAAATGGCGGGCAAACTATAGACGAATATTATAGACAGATAAAAATCCATCGGTAATACAGACGGATTTATAGATAGATTTTTCAGAAAAAAAAAAAAAAAAAAATCACAAATCCGTCTGTATTACATAAGCGTTTTTCTAGTAGTGTTATGGAGTAGGTAAGTATACAAAACTAATAAGAAAAAAATGCATTAGCAGGTGATTAAAAAAGCTTCTTTTTTTTTTTTTAATCATATCCACTATTAACTGTAAAATTAAAAATGCATAGCCCGAAAATATGAACTGGACAATCATAGTTAAAAAGAGTCAGCAAAGTACTTTTTATGCAAATATAATGCGGGGTTTAGTCTGGGAATTTTGCAATTTGGAAGTGAGAGTAAGGAGCAGGCGAGAATAACCGAGCTAACGAGAGAAGGGATAAAAATAATGCATGTAAGTCACTGTTTACGAGTTATTCAGTTCTAGCGTGCAAGCTGTGAAGCACCATTATCAACGACATGTAAAATTATTTGGCCACCATTTTATTAGTGGCCAGCTGAAGTTAGTGAGCTGTTCATTGGTCTATAACAAGGAAAATACCAATTAGTATCCCTAGATATTGGTTTAGAAAGTAAACATATAATCTTTTAAAAAATTTGTATTATATAAAAAATATTTAATCTTACCTTTTTAAGTAGAAACATTTAATAAGGTATAATTGATACTCTTTAATAAATACCTTCAAGGTAGTGATTAGCAAGACTTTATTTCTAAGGATCTAGCATATGTGTGAGCTTAATCTTCTTAATTGAATTTTTAAGGATAAGATTTAAGTTCAATTCTCGAAATACTTTTAGTGCTATTTTATAAATAAGATTATAATTTTGTTTTGATAAAAAAAATTTAATATTTAAGGTTGTTACAAGTTACTAAAATAAAACACTAGTTTTAATTGAAAAATATCACAAAGAAGGAAGACATTTTATTTTTAAATTAAAGAATCATATAATATTTATAAAAGTAAATAAAAAATTAATACTTGAGTTTACAATGATCTATCATTTTATAACTTCAATTAAAAAATTATGAAATTAAAGTATCTTAATTAGAAATAAAAAGTTGTCTTCCATTTAAGCATGGAAACAGGCTAGGTCAGGCTTATAGCATAATTATTGGACCTAAGTATGATTTGTTACCTATTAAAAGTCTTATTTTTTGTTGTTTGACATAATCTAAAACTTATTAACAAAGTAAAAAATTTCTTAATAGGTCATTAAGCTTAGGCCAGTAAACAGGCTTAAATAAGCTTAAGCCAACAAACACGCAATAAACAAACCTTTAAATAATAATTTTTGAATAATATATATATATATATACACAAGTTGACCTGTTAGGTTTAATAGGTTTTGTAAACAGTTCAAATTTGACCTACTTATTTAAACGAATCTTAAAAAAAATTAAACCTTATTTGTTTATTAAAGTGGTCAAGCCAAGTGCAGGTCCTGTTAAGCTGCCTGACATGTTTCTATCTCTACTTCTATTTCTTTTCCTTCTAAAATCTAATGCCCCAAAACATAGTTTGAGAAACTGGATTTAAGTTTTGATCTTGTTTTAATGGTCTACTGGCTTTAGTTCGGGCTAATACTGGCTTATGTGTGAGTTTAATTCTTTTAACTGAATTGTGTTAATGGTGTAATGTTTTAGCATGGACTAGGCTAGTACTTGGGCATGTTTGATTCAACCTTGTTTTGGAGAAATAACCCAGTTTTTTCTCATTTCCCGAAGGAACTTCTGAGGAAAAAAAAGATTGTTTCCTAAAGAAAAAAATACTTCAAACATCTTAAAGCTGCCGATTGAATACGTTAACATTTAATACAAGTGTATATAAATAAAACGTTTGTTTTGGAGCCAAGAGATTGTTTTGTCATGCAAGAACAAGCATCAAAAACATTTCTGTGGCAGCCATGCCCCTAACACGCAAATTGATACATGTTTGTCTTCCGCAGCTTCTTCTGTGTTTCCCATTGTAACAAAAAAAAAAAACCAGATTACGTTATCTTTCTTCGTTTGTTGATCTATAGGCCTTTCTTAACCCGATGAATACTGTTGGTGGAGCCACTTCCATGATATGGATCACCTTTTTGGCTCTCAGCAAGAAAGAAAAAAGGATCATCTTTGTTCAATTAACGGATGCATTTTAAAGTCGGTTTGACAATCTAATTTATTTCCTCATTTATGGTCAGGACCAGGAGATAGATGAAGAAACTGAGCTGCTTGTTCTTGCAAGTGATGGACTCTGGGATGTAGTACCAAATGACGTAAGATTCTTCTTCCGTCTTAGCCATGCACTTCCTTGTTGCATTCACATGTAATATTCATTCTAATCAGGCAGGAGTAGATTATCATCAGTAACATATAACCGGTAAAATAAACAAGAAAAATAATGAGCTTGAAAATGCATTTGTTCTTCAGGCCATATATCACCAAGGATGGCGTTCAAAGCGAAGTGAATTGCCTAATAGCATTGGTTGGCATATAAGATGGGAGAGGAAAGAAACAGAAAAGTAAATTATCTAGTCCTCCACATTGGATAAGTCATGGATTTTAGTTTCAAAATTTTAAAAACCATTTATTAATTCTTGGTTTTTTTAAAAAAATATTTTACCATTTTTATTTTATTTTCTATTACTATTTTGCATTAAAAAAAGTTAAAGTGAACGCCATCTTTTAAAGTTAAGAATTAATAAAAGAAAATGAAAATCTCGAAGTAAAATGCATACACAAATCTCGAAGACTTAGGGGGGTTGGGAATCTGCTGGGGAATTTTCTGCTCATTGACTTTAGCTACTTTAAGCTTACGTCGTGTACTACATACGGAATTTATGATTCTGTCTTGTCATCCTCCAACCTTGTTCACTTTAATTGATATGGGTAACGGCGTATGTAAGTTACCGATACCGTGAATGAATGAATATGAAACACGAAGTAATCAAAATATTCTTGGACCCATTATCACAATGTTTGGAGTGATAATTTTGTAATATTTTATTCTCTAATCCTCTCGTCTTTGTGTAGATTGTTCTCTTTGATACTTTGGATATTGTCATCCTTTGTTTGTTCAGGATGCTGTTTCTCTTGTCCGAACAGAAGAGGAGGCGGAGACAGCTGCTCGTAAGTTAACAGAAGCGGCATTTACCCGTGGCAGTGCAGATAACATAACTTGCATTGTGGTGCGTTTCAATCATGAAAAAGCATACCCAGTTAATTCTGACAAAGCAGATCCAGCTAGTAGTAGCCAGCATGAATAGACAATGAAATCATCGCGCATGTGTCACATTTATTCACTGTTCAGGGCAATGTTGAATGAGCACACTGAGCTCTGCTGCACATGCGCCATGGATGGATAACAGTGCACGCCAACAAGTGATTTGTTTATTCGTTAGTTTTGTAATGTAAAGTCGCTCTTGTTTCGTGACCGTGGATGGATGGATGGATTCATGGTCTTCCCAAAGCCAAAACTAACAATATTTCCCCATGAATTAGTTTACGGCTTGGAAATGCCTCAGTTTGGTATTTTTGTTTTTCTCTAATAAATGCAAAGTGCATCTTTTTGGGTGATTAGAGTGCCTAGCAATTTGATTAGTGACTTTATGCCCCAAGTACATTAATAGAAGAATTTAAAAGTAATTCTATATATATAAAAAAAGATATTTAATAAATTTTTTTAACGTATATGTAAGAATATATAATAAAAAAATTAATAAATAATAATTTTTTATTAAAATTTATAACATTCAAAGTTATTAATATAATATATTAAATTTTGTGATATATTATAATGTTTTAATAAAAAATTATATACAGATTTTTATTGTGTCACGTTAAAAGATTAAATTTATTATTATCAGTTTATTTGAGTCGCAATCAAAATTTATTTATTGAATTTTTAGTAATTGTTTTAAAGAGACTTGTTATTAAGATTTGAAATTTTAAAAGAAGGGTTTTACTATAATATTCTCTTACTCATCATTTTAATAATTTTTTAAAATTTTATGAAGTATTAAATGAAAAATTAATTATTTTAAAATATAATTTTTTAATAATTTATTTTAATAATAAAGAAGATATATAAAAAATTAGAAAATTTAGAATTATACTTGAACCAATTAATGAGTTTCAAACGAGTTATAATAAATGGAATTTTTTTCTTAATCTGACATTTTTCTTGTTAATAAAAATAGTTAATTTAAAATGGACCGATGATATTCAAGAAAAATGTTAATATATATTTATATTTTATAATTATACCTAATAATGTGAACAAATACGCTGAAGAATATTGGGAAACCTAAAAGAAAGTTGAATTGTGTTTTTTGGAGCTTCTTTTTAACAATTTCTTTTTTAAAAAATGTTTTTAAAGACAAGCATTTAAGAGTAGTTAGAGAAGATTCACAGACCATCTAAGGCTTTTATTTTCTTGCGAGCTATCATCCGAAACTTCACGTGATGTCTTAAATGCAACCTTTAATTAAAAATATTTGAAAAACCTTGTTAAAAAAAATGCATGGTAATCTTAGGTTATATGGAACATTAAAATGGAATGAGAGAAGGGTACAAAATATTTGAGTTTTATTTATTAATTTCAACTCTAATGACGGAGTTTAAATATTTTTAAAAAATTATCAAAAAAATGTATTTATAATAGTAAAATATAAAATAATAATTATTTTTAAAATAAAAATTTATAAGTATTAGTTGTTTAAAAACTGATGTTAATATTTTTTCAATCTTCATCACTATTCACCCTGCATTCACACGAGGAATATGTTCAATTCTCAACAAATTAGTTAGGATTTTTACTAATTAGATAGTCTAAAAAATAAAAATAATAATAACTTTACATCTTAAATATTATTCCACACTTCTGTTTATACTTAAAACTAAGTGTGTTTTTTTTTCTCAAAAAAGTTTCTTCAAACTTTTCACATTCCCAGTAAATAATGAATTAACAAATAAAAATTTTGATGCTATCAAAAATATTTTTCTGAAAAGAACCGATGATAATGACACTCTAATAATATTCTCTCAAGTGTAAAGAGATACATAATGTTTACAAGTAAATTGGAAAAATAAAACGAAGATAATGATTATTGTGGTTACTATTCAAGTTTATTTGTATATCTATGTTTTTATTTATTTATTTTGTTACAAAAGAAAATAATAGAAGAGGCTAAGGCCTAGCAAAGGAAATGCCCCAGGCAAATGAAGTTGTTTAGGAGGAAGTTTGAGAACAAGCATTTTGTGAGGAAAAGTACTCCCATCCTTACTAAAATATCATTATCAGTATAAAAATTGTCCTATCTCAAAGTATGCTTTAAAGAGATCATCCAATCTTTATGCAACATATTCTTGATTTTTTGCAACACCATACTTATGAAAATAAGTTGAATCACCTCTGATGAGATTAAGAAGCTCCATACTATCAGTCCAACGTTGAATGTTTCTGTGGCCTTCACTCCAAGGTAATTACAACCCACGTTACAATCTTATAAGTTTCACGTTAATAATTGTGAGCGGATAAACTCGATCTAATACATTCTTTTAACATAATTTAAATTATTGATTAAAATTTATTAAATACTACAAAATAAAATGAAGAGAGTGCATTATTAAAATAACAATAAGATTCATATAGTTTTTAATAAATTTTAATTAATAATTAAGAGAATAAAAAATATTTTTTAATATTAAAATGTTATATTAAAGAGTTTGTTGGAAGCAATTTTTCTTCTTTATGAAACCAATAAAGGCAAGAAATCCACAAATCCAATTTCCATGACAGCATCTAAGAGAGCACCAGAATTAGCCCTCCCTAGGTTGCCAGTGACAGTACTGCCATCCACATTTAAAGCAACCGTTCCATCTATTGGAACTTAACCAGCTAATTAACTTTTTAGGCACAAAAGAGCTACTAGTTTCTCCACTGAGATGCAGAATATCACACTGCAATTGATTGATAACCTGATGATGTTGTGAGCACTATTATTTTTACCATATATTAAATATAAGAGATTTTCGATCCAACCAAATACCAAATTTAGAGGTGTTATGCATGATTCAAGGTGTTCTATATCTGTGTCTCCATAGAAGGTGAATGTTGCAGAATGTCTATGGAAAAAAAGAAGACCATTCTATTCATGCATTAAATGCATAGATACATAGAAAACGGGCTCTTTTTTCACAGCAAGTTGCTTCATCTATCATTCAAGCAACTTTGCATGGATTTGATGTACTTGTGTGAGTGTCTTTTTTTTTTCTTCTTGTGCAAGCTTATGGTATTATAGTTAACAAAGTCTTTCTTTTGTTTTATTATTTTAGTGTCCTATTGCATTAATTGCTCAAAAATATCTATTGTGTTAGATCTGTCCTTGATTTAGACTTGTACAACCAATTTTTACTTTTCTTTTAAAAGATTTATTCAAATGTCACAAAAGCTCAACAACAAAGTTAGGTCTAGATGAGCCCCCTTCCTATCGTCTTAAGCCTTGGTCTTCATACCTCAAATTAACTTTTAGACGTTGTACTTTAAGCTTATACTCATTTGATTTTGCATAATTAGCAAGTTTATTAATTCAATAATTCGTTTACCAAATCATTTGAATGTTATCAAAATAATCCGAACTTTGAGTGCTAAAGACATCAGAAGTTTGAAATTTAACATATGTCATAGACTTAAATTTGTTGAGGTTTATTTCTATAAATTTTGTGAATAGAAATGATCAGCATTGCTTCATTAACCATTAAATATTCATTTAAATTTATAACGGTAAGTAAAATAAAATTACAAACAATCTAATGAGCAATGTTGCATGTCTAAAATAACCATCCTTCCTTCTAGCATCTACTTATCTACTTAGACTTCAGTGTGCTTTGATTACTGTCATGCTCATTTTGTTTTATTATAACAATTTGTTTGTACTAAATAATATATAATAGATTTCTCAAAGAAAGCAGTTTGCTCGACAAAGTTAAAATCCTAGGGTGGGGCATTGAGACATAATACAAGGAGTAATTATTAGATAGTTCAAGATTATGTAATTTCAGATAATCACATTGTGTTACATATTAATATTTTTTATAAATTATATAATTTATATACATAATATAATACGATTGATTGAGAATAGTCTCTTTCCATGTTATACAAATTTTTTTAGTACATGAGTTGCATTCAAAGAGGGTGGTGGGGGGGTTGATATTTTCAAGTGTCAATTAATAGGGCTATTAATTGTATGGTTTAACTATGGTCATGTTAATTAGTACTTTTGAATGTCTAATAAAGTAGTGTTTCATATTACTTCTGATTTTTTTTATAAAAAATAAAAGACTAAATTTTTATAACTAAGGAAAGTGATTAAGTCATTTATATTTTTTATAAATATAAACTTTATTTTAAAAATATCTATGATATTAAATATTATAGTTAATAATTTATATCATTAATGATACTAATAAAATAAAAGTATAAAAGAAATTTAACAATTAATGCTTCTTGAATCTATTATTTATTTCTTATAATAAAGATTAAAAAAATACTTTATTTTGTTTATTATAAAAAAGATTGGAGGAGGTAATACTTAATAAACATGCTTAAAAGATAAAATATGAGTTTTAACTTTTTATTTTAGAACGTTTTAAAAATAGAACAAAAGAATTCATAAGGTTTAAAGATGGTATATTTTGGTCCCAGGATAAATTCGAGGAGAATGAAACAAAATATGATGTTTTATTCCATTCTATCCATAGTCAATTGTCTTAAGGATGATAATGCTAAGGTTTGTATCCCTCGAATGCTTGTGTAGTTCTTTTCTTGGGCTTGGGCCCCGCATTTTATCGAGACAAAAAATGCAATAACAAATATTAAACCATTGAAAAGTAAAAATAGATGGAGACCATTTTTTACACCGCTTATTTTCTACTAGTTACATTACGTTTTTTTATTTATAATTTAATTTTAGAAATATGTTTAATAAATTCTAGAACTTATATTTTATAAGTTATTTATAAATTACTTCTAAAAATTAATTTTTAGATATAATTTTTTATTTATAAAACATAATAAAAAATCTTACGTTTAAGAGTAAAAAACTCATTTATAAAGCGACCAATTTAATATATTAAGGTTTTAAACCGCTAATAATTAAGATTTTTGGATAGCTTATTTATAGGTGAACGACAAATATATTAGGCAGAAGGTCTATTTGTTTATTAGACTTCATTTCTTATAATGGAAAAATGGCGTACTAATAGCTAACGGGGTGTTCAAACAATGATTTAATTTCATGTAAATTATACGAACGGAAAATAAAAAATAATTTTTTAATTAAATCAGTTTTTGTTTGAATTTTAAAATTTAATTAAATCAAATTAAATGTATACTTATATATACAATTAAATCAAATTATATATATATATATATATATATATATATATATATAGAATTTATTGATAATAGATATCAAACTTACACACTAATATTATTTAATAATTATTTATAAAATATGAGATTAACTAATTTAACTATTAATTTAAAATATTTTATTTATTATATAAAAAATTATTAAATACTTCATTGTATTATTTTATTTTAATAAATGATATAATTTTTAAAATATAAATAAATATTAAATTTTAAATAATATATTTATAAATGACTAAAATAATTTAATTATTTTATATTATTTCTCTTCCTCTCCAACTTCCTTCCCATCGCCCACTTCCAAACTCACCACCATCCCACATATGCCTCTCCACATTCTACAACGTTATCGTAAAAGGATCCTTCACTCAAAATGACCAACTCCCCTGTTACCCTTGCTATGATGAAGGGTTGAGGAACAAGAGAAAAGTTTTTTTTTTTTTTGGTAAATATGTAAAATATATTTAATTATTTTTTTACAAATATTTATTTTAAATAATATATTATGTGGCATACCACGTGACAGTATTGAGTAAACTTTTTGCCTATCAACTTAATACTTAATAGAGGAGAATTGATGACAGAGATTAAATTTTAACTTTTTAATATTTTAAAACTAAATTCTAACAAAAATTTTTATAGAGATTTATTACAAAATATGCTAACTTTATAGGGATTAAAAATACAACTAAGCCAAATAATAATAAAATAAATTAGATATATATATTTAAGTTAGATTTTAGGCTTAATTATATTTTAGTCCCTATAAATATTGAACATTTTGTTATAAATTCTTATAAAAATTTTTGTTAGGATTTAGTTTCTAAAGAGTTAAGCAATTATGATTTAATTTTTGTTGTCAACTCTCTTATGTTAAGTGCTGACCTGACTGACGAAGAGCCAGTTCAGCACTCCCATGTGGCACCACATGACATGTAATGTTATTTTATTTTTTTATTATTTAAAATTAATATTTAAAAATAAGTCTTTAAATATATTTTATATAATTACAATGAAGTTTCTTTCTCCTTTCCCGTTTCCTTTCCCTCTCCCTTCTCTATTACCCTTAGCCCACCCACCCCTTCCCTCTTTTTTTTTTTTCCCCCAAAGTTTCCTTACTAAAGCATAAAATCATCAACACTTTTTCATTTTACATTGCATTAAACTCTTTCTCTCTCCATTCCATATTCAAATCATTCATTTTAAAACTTTGTACACGTTTTAAAGTAATTTTCCATTACCCAATATAGAACATTTATACAACCCTTCAATATCTAAAACACAAACAAAATTTTAATAAGAAAAAGTGAAAAACGAGTTGGAAATAGAGATGCAAGTTAGAGGCAAGAGAGGAGTTAGGTGTGGGGTAGAGGAAGGACTGAGAGTAGGATAATAGGAAAGGAGTTGGAGTGGAAGAAAGGAGAGGAGGTGAAGGCGTGGGAAATGAGAAAGGGAGGGAGAGGAGATGGGGTGGTGCGGATGGGAGGAATGAAAAGGGAGTGGGGGAGAGAGGTGATGCAAATAGAGTAGGAGCATGGGTGTTGGAGAGAGAGGGATGTGGGGTAGGAGGAAGGGAAAGTAGTGGTGCAAATGTGGGTGTTGGAGGGAGAAGAGTATGTGAAAAGGATAGTGCGAATGGGAGAATGAGAAGGAGTAGGAGAGGAGAGTGGTGGGGATAAGGGAATGAAAATGGATGGAGTGAGGGTGTTGGAGAGAGAGGGGTGTGAAGAAGAGGAAGGGGTGGTGCGAGTAAGGAATGGAAAGGGGTGGAGGAGGGGGTGAAAGTATAAGTATTGGAGGAAGAAGGGATGTGGGAAAAGAAAGGAAGTGAGAGTGGAGGAAAAGGGAGGGGGTGTGGGGGGAAGAGGGAGAAGGGGAGGGAGTGGAGGTGGAAGAAAGAGAAAAAACTTTTATGCAATTATATAAAATAGGTTTAGAGACTTATTTATAATTTTTAATTTTAAATAATAAAAAAAACAATATGGTATCACATGAAGTGTTGAGCTCAATATTAAGAGAATTAACAGTAAGGACTAAATTTTAATTTCTTAATTTTATAGGAACTAAATTACAAAAACTAATTCCTAACAAAAAAATTTACAATGACTTATCACAAAATATTAAATATTTATAGAGATAAAAAATTATAAATAAACCTATATTTTAAAAATATGGAAAAGTTATAGCATATTTTAGATCTTAAAAGTAAAAACTTTAACACCAAATAATAGTCCAACATTGACAACAAATAATTGTCATCATAGCCTTGCAACTTCAAAATCAATACCCAAAGCATCACTAACTTACATAAATAAATATTAGATCTACTAAACTATTTCAAATGACAACATAGAAAATATAATATTTTTCAAGAAGCAAATATATAACAAATAAGAAAGCTAATATCATCAACATGAAAAGAAAACACAATTTACATTATCTCTCTTCACTTTTTTATGAATATTTTTTAACTATTTTTCTATAGCAAATTTTTAGTAAAAATTTCAATAAAAACACAAATAAGTAATCACATATTACATATTCATAATTCAAAGTACATATTCCTTCACAATAAAGAGGCCTAAAAATATGCTTGTGCACTTTAAAAACATAAAACATAGAGGTAAGATCTACATAGTTAAAAGGTAAAATAACATTGTTTTTAATTATCTTGATATTTAAATTTATCACTTAATATGATATATCAATATTTTGATAATATGTGTTGACATACTAAAGTGATTGATAAAGATAATAGTCAAAGACTAATATTTTATTATTTAAATAAAATATTATCTATTATAAGTTATTTCTCTTGTACATCTATTATCACCTTTATATATCTAATTAATACTCATTTTTTGTTTTAAAAAATTATATAAAATACTCATATTATTAATATGGCTATAACATGAATAAATAAATAATAATAATACACACACCTTTAAACAAAATAATACATGCACACATATAAAAAAAATTTGATATGTTATTTAAAATTGTTTAAAACCCAATAATAAAAGATGATGAGTTAAAAGTTAACCGTGGTTGAGTTAATTGGGTCCCAGTGCATGGGGAATTAGATGAAGAATAAAAGGAGAAAAAGAAAAAGAAAACGTAATAACGAGGAGAACAGAAGAGAACAGATCACGGGGCTCTCAATCTCATCCCTAATTTCACTAGTAATTAGATTCTGAGGGCTTTGACAGATGGGTCATTGTACATGGTGACCGTCTTCTCAGATTCAAATTCCCAAACGTCACTCACATCCCTCTCTCCAATTAGGTTTTTTCACTCACTCCTCACTCTTCATCTTCACCGCACCACAACGACACCTTTTTCTTCTGTCGTTTAACTTCCCACCCTCTAGGGTTTCCATTTCCAATCGCAGATTTTCATTTCCCTTTATTTCGACCGTTGCCACCTATTTTCAAATGCACTGCCCCTGTAGATCCGTGGCGGGATTCTGTTGACTTGGTTTTCGCCGTCTCAAAAAAATTGAGGTTCGTTTCCGAATATTTCGCTCTCCCTATTCTTACCGCATTTTTGCTTCTCTTGTTCGTTTCCGAGTGTTTTTGCTAACCCAAAATAGCACCTGTGCTCTGAATTTCGCATATTTTGTTGCGTTGTTTTAATTTCCCGTACTAATTTAATTTGATCACTTGGGGGATTTTGGCGACGATTCAAATTCTATTCTGCTGCTACTACTACAACTATTATTATTATTATGAGTAAATATTTTTAATTTATGGTTGGTTCAATTTTGGTACGGCGGTCGGTCGAAAAATACGGCATTAGTACTGTATCTGTATCCAAAGGGGGAAAATCGGTATAAGAAAGAGCAATTCTTGGTCATTCATTGTCTTGAGTTGAGTTTACGAATGAATGATTGCTTTCTGAAAGACATTTACCGTGTTCTTGTGGTTATGGGGCTGGAAAGGTGCTGCTTGTTGCATCTTTGTTGGGTTAACGAGAATTTATATGCTTTGTGGTGGTTTGTAGTTCGTATTGTGCAGATCTGTCCTCACCTTCCTCTTTGATAAATGAAAAAAAAATAGTATTTTAAATTTTTTAAATAACATGTGATTTGAAGTATGTTAAACTTGGGTCTAACTTTCAGTGTCGGTGAGCTTAGCAACTTAGCATGAAGAAGGGAACTTGTAAATTTGTTGTTAATTACGTGGATGGATTCTGCATAGGTACTTGAGTAGAATATTGTTGTACATGTGCATTGCATTATCTTGTTGCTGTACCTTGAAAAATATAAGATAACAGAGAAGGAAAGTTGAAAAGGCTGCTAAACATCGTTCCTCATTGCCAGTGTCTCTTTTTAATGTACTGCAAAAATACAGAACTGTGTAATATATGAATCTTGCATACAAATATTTTGGTTGGGCAACTGCTATTATAGCACTGTAAAGGAATCTTTTAGGTCACAGGAAATTTAGCCATTTGCCTTATCCTAGAAGATAAACTGAAAGTGACTATATAATTTGCCGTTGCCTACTGAGAACCTGCAATATTTATTATCAGAAAATATTGAGTTGCTCACACCTTATGGCACTTCTCTTAAGGGAAGCTTATTGAAAGGCAACATGTCATAGGCATTCACTCATGTTAACGTATCACCTTTTCTGGTTTTTATGAAGAGTACTTGATTATTTAATCAGGCTTTGTAACTGTATAAGTCAGTGCTATGTAAGTTCTATACATTGATATGCTGGCTTAATATTGCAAAGAAGAAAAAGGCAATTATTTAGTCTCTTTCTACATAAGTTTCAACCACAATTATAATTACGGATCAAGGATTTTCTGATAGTAAACAAGTGCTGACATTGGCAATGTTACTCCTGCATATCTTGTTTCCATGTAATCACACTGTAATATTGACTTGTATAGTCACAGGGCCTGGGGTAGAGAACACAACCATACCTATGAACAAAAGGATTTAAGGTTACACGTGAGGAACATGTTTTATCATTTCTCCTCATTTTTCTTCATATGAATTTATGATGAATTACTATATGATCTTTCAATTTTTTCCAGACGACAATGACACAAAGAATATCTGGTCTCTCTTTGACACACAGATAATGTATGTTGTTCTGCACTGGTGGTGATAGATATAATGCAGAGCTAGTGACCCCACATTTAATTATTGAAAATGAAAATTCCTTGTACAGTGCTCACACAATGTCACAAACTAAATTTTTTTGTCATTAATAGTTTTGAAAATCTACATGTGATGAATACTTTGAAAAACTGGTATACTTATAATTGTTGCTCCATGCACAACTTTAGTGGCTATGTCTCAATTCTCAATTTCTTTCTCCATTGTTTCAGGTACGAGGTTGAGGGATTTCCTCAAGCAAAGGGGGCATATTATAGAGTCCAGTTCTCGTGGTTAAATTCTCTGCCTCTTCACTGGGTGAGGAAGTGACTTATCAAGTGTTAAGACTTCTGAAAAACGATGGAATGCAACAAAGATGAGGCAGTTAGAGCCAAAGAAATAGCAGAGAGGAAATTTTTAGAAAGAGAATATGTTGGTGCAAAAAAGTTTGCTCACAAGGCCCAAAATCTGTATCCTGATTTGGAGGATATTTCCCAGTTTTTGACAACTCTTGATATTTATATATCTGCTGAGAATAAAGTAAGTGGAGAAATGGATTGGTATGGTATACTTGGAGTGAGCCCCTTTGCTGATGAGGAGATTGTCAGAAAGCAGTACAGGAAGCTGGCTCTCACCCTGCACCCTGATAAAAACAAGTGTTTAGGTGCAGAGGGTGCTTTTAAGCTGGTTTCGGAGGCATGGAGTTTGTTATCAGACAAGACCAAGAGACTAGAATATAACCAGAAGAGGTGTTTGAAAGGATTCCAACATAATACTCCCAACCATGTTGGATCTCAACCTGATGCACCCAGTTCAAATGGTTTTTATAATTTAAAGAAGAATGCATCTTCAAATGTGGGGACTGGAAACAATAATGGTCGTGCAACTTCAACTTCACTTCCTCCTCCACATAAAAAGGCTGAAACCTTTTGGACTATCTGTAATCGGTGCAGGACACATTATGAATATCTCAGGATTTATTTGAATCACACCCTTTTATGTCCAAACTGTAATGAAGCTTTTGTGGCTGTAGAGAGGGGTCCACCTCCTAATGTTTTTAAGCCATCAAATTGGTCTTCTCATCAACGACATCAGAATTCTCAACATCATGCTGGAAGAAACAATACAAACTTTCAGTGGGGTTCTCACTCCAGAATGGCTGGTTTTGGTAGCACAGATGGATCAACATCTGTTACAGCTCAAGCTGCAAGTGTTGTGCAGCAGGCAAGTGAGAAAGTGAGGAGAGACGGAGCATCATCAATTGCTGACTGGGAGAGAAGTCAAATGTCTAAGAGGACTGATGGCTCCTTTCATAAAGTTGAAAAACCTATGAAAAAAAGGAAGACAGATGATATTCGGATTAATGGTTATCAAGGATACATGGCAAATCATATGACTATGGGACATGGAGCGGCAGGTGTGGGCAGTTTTTCTGAACCAGGAAAGAGTAACTTGGAAGTAGAAAGAAATCATGGTTTTTCAGGTTTTGCTGGCAAGCATTTTGCCACAAGAGAGTTGTCATTGTTTGAAATCCGAAACATGCTGATGGACAAGTCACGCGTTGAAATTCGTAAGAAACTTCAAGAATGGAAATCAGTGGCTGAAGCTAAGATCAACAAGGACAAAGAGAATAGGAGACAGAAAAGCACCGGTAATGGCAAAACAAGTGGTTCAGAGAAGCTTGGAGATTCCACTGTTAATGGTAACAGGCATGCCGACATTGATTCTTTCCCTGTCACATCTGATGATACCATCAAGAAGAACCAGACCTATGTTACGATCAATGTTCCAGACCCTGATTTTCATAACTTTGACTTGGATAGAGATGAAAATTCCTTTGCAGAGGACCAGGTCTGGGCTGCTTATGATGATGATGATGGGATGCCTCGGTATTATGCTAGAGTTCACAAAGTGATCTCCATAAAACCATTTAAAATGCGGATCAGTTGGCTTAACTCTAGAAGCAACAATGAATTGGGCCCAATAGATTGGGTTGGTTCTGGTTTTTATAAAACTTGTGGGGATTTCAGGACTGGCAAGCATGAAATAACTGAATCATTAAATTCATTTTCACACAAGGTTAGGTGGACTAAAGGCACCAGAGGTGTTGTTCGCATTTTTCCTGGAAAGGGGGAAGTCTGGGCACTCTACAGAAACTGGTCTTCTGATTGGAATGAACATACCCCGGATGAAGTGATACACAAGTATGACATGGTGGAGGTGCTTGAAGATTTCAATGAAGAACAAGGCATATTAGTTACCCCTCTTATTAAGGTTGCTGGTTTCAGGACAGTGTTTAAGAGGCACATGGACCATGATCAGGTGAGAAGGATCCCTAAGGAGGAGATGTTTCGATTCTCTCATCAGGTTCCTAATTACTTGCTAACTGGCCAAGAAGCTAATAATGCTCCAATTGGTTGTCGAGAGTTGGATCCAGCAGCTACTCCTTTAGACCTACTTCAGATAATAACAGGAGCTAATGAGACATCCGGTAATGTTTAGAAAGCCTGAGGAAGATACGAGGCCCAGTTCACCGGAACAAAATGCTTTTGGAAATGAGAGAGAATGCTTCTAAACCTTGTAGAGCAGAACTGTTAAACGAGGATAGTAAACAGAAAGGGATGATAGATGACAATGCACAGCATAGAGAAGTTGGTGTTACTGATCAATAGGCTTGAAAAATCAAATTGAAGATTGATGAAAATACACTCTCACGACTCTTTGATTTTGTAAGCCTGACCTATAGTGCCTTTTGGTGTCATAAATGGATCGAAGTGATCCGCAGCTTTTCGGTTTTTGTTGTATAATTTTCAGACATGTTATTCAAAGACTTGTGGATCTCAATGGTGAACGCAATTATCATTCATCATTTTGCAAGCAAAATGATTAGCCTATAGTTCGGGCATTTCATATCGTCCATGCCTGGTGGTTTGTTTTTCCAGTCCAGGGACATACTTGTTCTGTCTTGTGTTATATGAGTTTTGATTACATCTGATTCACTTGTTAATTGCAATTTCATGCCATGTGCAATGGCGCTAGAACATGTTTAAAGCTGCACTTTTTTTCTGCCCTTGTTCTTAGTGTGATTGGAAGCCCATTAAAAAAACTTGTAAACATCAACTTAATGCAGAAGTTACAATTGGTAACATTGAGGTAAAGAGATTTTTGTTGTGATCAAACATGAAATCAAACTGTTATTTTGTGATCTTTGGAACTATGTTTTGTTTTTAACGGCTGCACTTCATTAGGAACTTTTAGTGTCCTTTAATCAAAATCATATTTTTTTCTTAGGTAGAAAGTGGACATCTAATGTTGCTACAGAAAAATTTTAATTTTGATTAAAAAGTGACAGCTAAAATATCTAAAGAACTGTATATAAGTTTTTTTTTTTTTTTTGTTATTTCCAATTGTTATGACTGATTTTAAGTATATAAATAAAGATAGTTTTATTGGAAAAAAATTGCTATATTAGAGATATAAAAATGTAATAAATATTTTAAAAAAATATTTGTTACTATTTAGTGTAGTATGCATTTGGGCCAGTTGTTTAAATTTAATCTTAAGAGTTGAAATTAATATTTTATTTTTATTTTTAATAGGTATTTTGGCTTTTGAATTTATTTACTGCTTTGTTTGAAAATCAAATCAGAATAAAATGTTAAACAAATGACCTTAGTTTTAAACTTTTACTTTACATAAAGTTTCTAAAAAATAATTATTCTTACACATAATCTTATTAAAAGTTTAAACAAATGACCTTAGTTATGTTTGTTAAAATACTAAACAAAAAATTGCCGTTGAGTTACGTCGCTGTTTTAATATAATTATTTTTTAAAATGTCCCTACAATGCCAGTATTTTCGAGATAGACGTTCTCATTTTATTAACATTTTCTAATATTAAATATTTATTACTAAATTATTCAGCATGAATATTAAATATTTTTATTTTGGTCTGGAGTATTGATATTAAATAGACTGTTTTTCTTTGTTCCACTACATCTGTTTTTGTCAACGTCCAATTAGATCTTGAAAGTTTAATTACTTGCTTCAAAGTTTGGGCTTGTTAAAGCCCATGGGATTGGTTCTCATTATAAACGACTATAAGCTTTCTCACTCAAACTTACATGTTTGTGTCTCGTGTTAACCTAAATCATCCTCGTACTTTAGCTTGATGCAACTGTCCAATTTTGTCAAAAACCAAATTACCCTCAAACTTCTGTGAAGAGGACTGCTCCTTTGAAATTATATTTAATGCTGTCTCTTGTTCAAAGACATATTTGCAAAAGCCATCTGCATGAGACAGAGAATCCCACGGGCAGTCTCAATGCTGATTTTATTTATTGGAAAAGCATATGAACTCATTGACTATGCAAGTAATAAAAATTGTAGAGGAAGGTTCATGGAAATTCTTGATGGGTCATATTCAAGGAATTTGAAAAGAAATCTAAGAAAGGTTCGTTTCATTTGCAAGACAACGCCAAATCACTATACTTTATTACTAGATTGCTCATTATTTCCATCAACAACAAAAGATTGCTCTTTATTTTACCACCTTATTTTATAAAATTTCGGTTTCCTTTATGTGAGACCTAGACCGGTAGGGGTGTTTGGGTAAATGCCATTGTTATATGAAACTGTTGACTGCATTCACCGACTCGGCATTCTCCATTATTCTCTTCTCAGACCCCTCTGACCTTAGATTTCAAACATGTGGTTCTTCTAAATTTCTAATGCATTAACGTTTAAGCAATGTCTGAATAAGCACAAAATTTCCACCGAAACTTTAAGCAAAATGCATATTTGACCAGAACAAGTATCATGACCATGTGGGTTTTTATTCTCTTTTCATTTTTCCTTTATATTCCAAACCTAGGTACAAGTCTAGTTCTCAAATTGACTTACATAGGGATGTATTATAAATATATAACAATTGAGGGTTTGAATGATTCTTACTTTCCTTTCTAATATTCTTTTTGGCTAACTTGGTGACACTTTTATGCCTAAGATCGTGTTTTGTTTTCCAAATCATTAGCAATTTTTTATGGAACAACAGATGATTAGCATTTGATAATTTGTATTAATTAACCGTTTTATACTAAGACTAGCAGCTGGCTGATAATTGACGAGATAACTTCCGTGTAAGATTTTTGCTGCTTGTAAACCATATAGATATGGCTTGCACGGCACATATTTCAATCCTAAATTACAATTCCATGTATCATCTCCAAAACAAAGTTGAAGTGCATCAGTTTTCTAATTAAAAAAAGATACAGATTCGTTGCACTTTTAACACACGTTTTAATTTACGTGTAATTTGTCTTTTAATTATCAAATCACTACTCATATTTATTTTTATAGTTATTTAATTGCTAAAATTAAGCATTTTCTTTTATCTTTGATCTAGCAATTAATAAAATATAATTAAAACATGACATATAACATTAATTTATATATTAATTGATAAAAATATTTGAATAAAAATACAAAATGTTAAAATTTAGGACTTCAAATACATGTTTTTAATTTAAATAATTTATATGTTATTCCTATATTTTATAATTTATATAAGTTAAAAAGATTAATCTTGATAATTTAAAAATTAATTGTTTAAGTTTTGATCTTTATAATCTCTTTAACTTCCGTTATGTTTTTAGTTTTTTCTTTGTCAAAGTTCATTAAAGACACTAGTTGATATTGTATAGGTATGAAATTTGTCTTTAAAATTATTTGAATATTCAAGAAAATGTTCTCCTCTTTTTTCTATTTTGTTTCGTGTCTTTTTAAAATTTAGGCATTAAGCATTAAAGCCTCAAGAATATTGATTAAAGAATAAAAAATTGTAATAAAAGTGCTTTAAAAATCATAATAGATGTGTATTTAATAAAATTTTAAAGTTATTAATCAGTATCTAAGGATACTGGTTAGCATTTTCTATTTTTTATTTTTACCGTTCTTTAACTTTTACCTCATGGCGCTACTGTTAAGAAATAATTATTAATATATTTTATCTTAATTATAAGAAATAAATTAAAACTAATCTTTAGATATATTAATTACTAAAAAAATATTGTTTATTTATCGTATGATTTTTATTTTTAAGACGCTAATTTATTACTCTTTTAAATGGATACATTTATGTAGTTAATATATAATATATTAACTTGACTATAATTTTTTTAAAAATATATAATTTTATGATATATACTTTTTTAATTTTAATTATTTATTTCTTATAAAATACAAATTATTATTTAAAAATAATTTCCCCTTATTATTATCACAAGCATTTTTTATTTAAAAATTTTATTTTCAAAAGTAGAAAATAAACAAGTTTTAAATATTTTACTTTTGTTTTATTTAAATCGTAGACCATTTTACTTACAACAATTTTTATTTCCATCGACCAATGTAGATTTGTATAAATTTTTATAAACACATATTTTAAAATAATAAATATTTTTTTTAAGATACATTTAGAGGAGAAGTGAGAAAAGAATATAATTTTTAATTTTAAAATTAAAATAATTATATATTACTTATAATGATAAATGTATGATTAATACATTAAATTTATATTAATATATTAATTTGCAGATGCGTGAATGAGAGAAAATTCAAATTATAAAGTGAATATAATAATGATTTTATTTTAATAATAATGTAGATGTGCAATTAGGTGAAAATGTATTTGAAAAAGGGATTGAATGATATGTGTAACGCCCTGAATTTTGTAGTTATATATATATATATATGTGTGTGTGTGTGTGTATGTGTGTGTGTGTAATTGTGGATGTTGGTTGTGTATTGAGAGATCGGATGTGGTTGAATTGATTGAAAATATTAGCTAAGTGTGTGTGTTTCAGGGTGTTCTCGCTCTAGTGACAAGGCCCTGGGCGTAAAGTATAGATATGTGGCGTTCTTATTGTAGTGAGAAGATCCTAGGAGAGAAGGTAGTTCTGTTATGTTCTCGCTGTAGCGAGAATGCAATAGAGAAGGGTACATTTATGGGTTGCAGTTTTGCTGTAGCAAGATTCTGCAGAAAATAGAGTGCAATTTTCTCTGAGATTTTTGCTGTAGCGAGAGGGGATGTCGCTGCAGCGAGGGATGTCTCGTTGTAGCGAGAGTGTCGCGACTCAAAGGGTATTTGAAGGATTTATGGTTCGTAAAACTTCATTTCTTACCCTTTCTCTCATATCTCTTTCGATTCTTTCGATTCCCAGCCCTATTTCACCGATTAAACTGTCTTCAAAGCCATTTGTGAGTAAGATTGGAGGTTTAGGTAGTGTTTGGGATGTTTAGAGGTAAGTTTTGTGAGTTAAGGTTTTGGTCTTTCGTTCCTTTCGTCGTTTTCTTGAGTTCTCATAGAGATTTCTCATATTTTAGGGACGAAGCACTGTGTGGAGAACATTTTCTGCTATTATCTCATGTTGGGTCTTCATTTTGAGGTAATGGAGGACTCTACCCTATTTCATTGTGCTTTGAATCTGTTTATTTGACTATGTATTATGATATGGTTAGAATAAAATGTAGGAATATGTGTGTTTTGATGTACATTTCGTGTTGAACATGATTTGTGAGGAAATGTGAGAAAAATTGTGGTTGGCTACTGTGGTTGATGTTGAATAGTGCGTGGGTTGAGAATGGTTTGATTGTAATCAAAATCATGTTAGAAATGTTGTGTGTTTGAATGTAACGTGATTGAATGTGGGCATACGTGCCATGTGTTAAAGTGAATATTGTGATGAGATTGAAATTGTGGGTGAAGTAATGTGTTAGCATGTCATCGCTTGATGCAAAATAATTTGAATGGTTGAAAATGTGCGTGAATAACATGTTGGATGTGATTGTGGTGATGTTTGAATATGTTGGAAAACTATGAATGGTTCAGCAATACATTGAAGCTGTGGAAGATGGAGACGGTAGAAATACATTGGCAAAGAGAGGGTAGTGGTGACACTAACAGTGAGCGTGAGTGCACCACAAGCCACACACTCTCATTCTGAATTGGCCTCTCACTAACACTTTGTTTGGAGGTTTAATATTGCACATGTTGTATCCGTAGAGCAGGAGCTATCTGACGACCATTTATGGTATGAACTAAGTAAGTCCCTGAGGTTAAGGGCATCAGAAAAACTGTGATTACAGTGCCACAATGAGCATGACTACGTGTAATGAACTTCGTGTGTGTGAATTATTT